AGAGAGGGCAGCTGGCTCTGAACCCTACGGCTGCTGGCCACGCTGCTGCTTCTCCTCGCCGTGGCCGCAGCAGCCGGGAGCTGGCAACCCCGGGGGAAGCTCGGGTGGCCCAGTGATGGCCAGGGCAGGGTCGCCCCCGGAGCAGCACCGGGGCTCGCAGAAGCCCAGCCTGGCTCAGGAAACTCCTTCCTCCCCCCCCCCCCAGGGCCAGACCTAGGCTTGGGTCAGCATCTCCACCACCACTGCCAGCGTTCCATACCCTCTCCCTCGGCGAAACCCCCCTGGCTGCTGCCATCCATCTGAATTCACCTCGACAGGCATTAAAAACTTCATCTGACAAGCAGGCACTGCTATGCGACGGAGCTAAAAGGCGAAGGGGGAACTCCCCGGGGCTGGATGCTATATCCTGGTTTCTTCGCAGGGGCACAGCTCATTGCTCAAGGCTGCAAGACGACTTTTTGCAGGTAAAGAAACAAAGCGGGCTTTGGATACCACATGCCAGCAGTTAAGCTTCTCCAACACATGGCTCGACCCCATCACCCTCAGATCCTTCCTGCCACCCAGGCCGGCCCTTCTAGCTTTCCTTCAGGCTTCCAGCTTTTCTTTGAGTAAATATAGAGCACACGTTCTTGCACGAGTGAAACACTGGATGCTACACGTATGCAACTCACCCCCGAGGGAGTTAGGGCACCTTGATGTGAGCAAAGCCTTGCCCCTTTTTTGCCAGGAGCTCTGCTCCCATTTTGGGGTGTCACTTGCACCCCTCCCCAGACGCCAGCGCTCACCACACCGCTCCTCCACGGGCCACACATTCCAGGGCACAATCAAACCTATTGTGCCGCTCTAAAACAGTTTTTGCTTTAATCTGCCGGGGGGGGGGGAACAGCACAAGGATTTTCTATCTAATCCAATAAATCTACACTGACATCTTGTGGAGACCATGAGGCCAGAGCGCCGCAGCCTCTCCGCAGGGTGGGATTTACACCCCCGCCAGCAGCCAGGCTTCCAAAGCACCCCACAGGTGTGTCCCTGGTGGAAACCAGGCCCTGCGATCTCAGAAATCGTCCTTCCGTGCCCACTAGCGTTGTTTTGCTAAGCGACCCTCCCACACCTAAATAAAATCAGACTATTTACTTTTCAATCCTCACTGGAAGCAACACCGTGACCCCTCTTGCATAAATGCGGTGATGCTTCAGGCTTCTCATCACAGCACAAGCTTCCAATGAGAAGCTAGCTTCATCCTGGATTTTTAATATCTCTATAAGCACTGGAAGAAAATGGACCCAAGTAGCAGTCCAGGACCTGTTTAATGCTCCTCTTCATGTAAAAATCCATGGTTTAAGCAAAACTGAATGCAGTCTGGGAACACGCTCAAGATTTTCCTCCCTATTTACCCCATTCATTTGACCTCCTCTGCTGGGTCAGAAGTGTTAAATTAAGCCACTGTCATTTTTTTTTTTTTTTTTTTTTTTTTTTTTTTTTTTTTTTTACACTGCTCTGTTAAGTGTTCAGGGAGAACCACCTCCCTGTTAGGCACAGGCCACATCAATGCCACGATATAATTGCCTGGTAGGGGTTAATGCCAAGAGCTGAAATCCCAGCACACATAATCTTGCAACCAAACCATACAATCATTGCTCCGGCTTCTTCCTAATACCACACTGGGGAGCAAACACTCATGCTTGCTCCATAGCGTGGCAAAAAGCGCTTCATCAAGTCCGATTTCTAGCAAATCATTCATATCAAATAGGTTTGAGAAGACTGAAGGTGCCATCAGATGTCAGAGATGAGCTTTGGGCTGGTGCACAACCCAAGGGGCTGGCATTTACCTGCGCTGCATTAACACAATAAATTATTCAGCCCTTCATGGGGTTTTCAGCCAACTCACTCCTGCCCTTCCCTTTGGACACCTCTGAGAGGTCTGATTTTTTTTCCAGCCCCGTTTCTGACTTGTCCAGTTGAGGAGGTGGCCAACGCAGAGCTGGCTTCAAGCCGGGTTGTGAGCAAGTGCTTTGGATTTAACTGAACTTCAATAACCAGTTCAACCATTGGCAGAGCAGGGCAAGATCGGCCCTTGGGAAGCAGAAATGAAGTTGCAGGAACAGCGACAGGCAGGTAATAAATGTTATGTCTTGAGCTTCTCCCCACTACGGGCCCCCTCCGCTCCCCCCCGTTCTTCCCTCGGTCTGCCAATGGGGGGTCACTGCCCTCTGCCAGGTCTCCTACCCACCCCAGTGCCTCCTCCTCCTCCCAGACGGCCAGAGACCCTCTGGAACCACTGCGGTAAGCACCGGATGGGTGGAGAACTGAGACTGCCCAGGTGGGATGGAAAGCAGGGGGAAAAAGGGGCTCGGACTTCTTCACAGCGTAGCAGCCAACCTGGAGAAGCCGCAACCATCACTCACAGTGCCACCAACAGCCACCACCGTCGCCAACGGGGAGCCCTTACGCCTCCGCGCGCAACTCCGCGGCAGTTCAGCCATCTCCACTCAGCAAGATGTTCTCCTCCCGCTAAAAAAAACCTCCACCTCAAAAGAGTCCATAGACAATGTTCCCCACGATTACACCTCCAGGTCAGTCTGCTCCATCTTTTCAGGGCAGCATCAACTGCCCAAGCCCCTCCAAAAAGCCAAACAACTTCCCAGTGCAGGTGGCAGGGAGGCAGCGTATTAGCAGCCCGTTAACAAGACCCCTGCTTCGTGCATGAAGAAGGAAATGTAGGACTGCAGAACATAATAAACATCATTTAGCATTAGGATCTGTCCAAGGCAGAGTCCATTTACAGGTAATGCCACCTACTCAGTTGCAAGAGGGGGAAAACCATCCGTCCCAAGAAAAGCCCGAATGACTCCAGCACGGGAATCAGTAGCTGCAGCACCGGCTCCGCTCTGAACAACGTAGACAGCTTTTATCTTGTGGGCTGCAAAAGAAAAGGGGTGATTTTTATGCCTCCAGCTGATTAATCCGTCAGAAATGCTTTAAATTCCTGCAAGGCTACTCTTTTGGGACTACCAAGCTGCGAACACCCCAAAAACATACAAGCGCTGCCACCTGGGCTCTCTTACCGCGCCTCGAGCACTCTCAGTAAGCACCCACATATATAAACAGCTAGCTCTGATTATTCAAATCCTGTTGCCTAGTATTAACTCTCAAATCTATATTTAAGCACCTAAGTAGGAATTACCACAGCTTCCCAAAGATCCTAAGCACCAAGAGCTCTTGTTAAGAGTTTGCCCAAGTACTGACCCCCTGATGAATCCGTGCGAATGACAACCCTCATCTCACTCCTGGTGCTGTGAAATTCAGCACTTTCATACACAGGTAACGCTCCCAAGCCTCTTCCAGCAAGAGCCAAGCTTGTGTGTCCTGTCCTTCGTATCAGAACACAGGTTAGATGCAAACACGCAGACTTTTAGGGACAGCTCCTCCGTGGTGAATTCAAAGTCGTGGCACCTCGTTTTAGAAAAAGGCTGGAAATACAGCAGAGCACAGGCTGTGCGTTATAGTCTGGTAGAACTTTGGGAAGACTGGTATCTTTGAAGTGAAACATATCTGGGCGTTGAACCAAAAATTAAAACCTAGTACTAAATGGAGGTACTCTGATATAATTCTCACTCTTCCCCTTCCAAAGTCAGGAAGCCTCTGAAAATTTCTGCAGAATTTGAACCTTGCTGTTCTTACAGCTAGAAAGTCAAAAAGCTCCTTTTCCTTTCCACAGCCCGAGCCTTGCCCTTTCCCAGAGAGGCAAAAATTACACCCTGCAGATGAGCAGAACACAGCAACAATATTCCAACTCACAGGAAAAGGCCAACTACCTTTGATTTGCTTTCTTGAAATTCTGATTTTAAAATCAGTTTGCGTATGAGCTCAGTGTGTTACCTTCATTGCCCAACTTCCGCCTTGAGTTACAAAGAAATGTGAGAAAAAGATAGGAATGTATTTATAAGGTCAATAGCTGCTGAAGTAGTTGCAGTGAACGCAAGAGAACAAGGAAGTACACAATAGGTAAGGCTGGAAATGCTGTGGAGAGTTAAGCAGGGAAACATAATCCGGGGTTCTGAATGACCAAGTAATTCTGGGTGAAAATTTAACGAAAGATAACTGAAGTAATTGCAATTGCTTAACAGACACGAAGGACCGTACACATCTGATTAGGATAAAGGATCTTCTAGAAAATATGAAGCTACTTCACCAACCTTAGAGGACTAGGCAGAACACAGCAGAGGCACCAGGTGACAGCAATCTGTAGGTGACAACTCTCCTTGCCAGCACGGCCGAGTCCTCTCCTCCCCCTGCAGATGCAGGCGGTAAGGCCTCAGCCCCAAACACTGCGGCAACCAGAAAACTGCCTGCTCTAACCCAGCAGAACTTTACAGATTACCTGGCAGCTGGAGCCACTTTTAAACAACAAATACTGATGGAAGTTTGGTCAAAAGCTTCAGAATGGATTTACGGATGGTAGGAGAGACTTCCCGTATTATTTTATGTAACTCACCAGTGTTACGCTGTGCCCACGTCTCAGGAATGCAACAGCCTTTCGTTGAGCGGATGAACTAACAAGCACTCGAATGACTTGGTCGTTACCGAAATTTTTAAAAAGAACCAATAAAGATAATTAGCGAGAGGAGGATAGAAAGGATTAATACAATCCAAATACCACAGTATTTAATGAATTAGCAAAATTAATTGTTATTATCTCCATAACAGCTTTTCAAAGTTAGAGCTGTATCAGGAGTTTTTAAAAACGAAAGCACTGCACATTTTCCAGACTGGGAAAGACGATCAGATCTGTCAAGACACACACCAAGTGTGAAGGCTGCAGGAACTGGATTTAGACCTAGTCTTTTCTACAGTCAAAAGATCTGTTTCAAATTTAAGAGACCACTATTTTGATAAACTAAATTTTAAATGCACATTACACAAAAAACATACTTTTCGGTTTTCGGTTCCTTCTTTTGTTGTCAAAAAAAAACCTACAAATACATGGACATACACACATGAAAGCGTGACCTTTCAGTTTATTATTTAAATTACAACTTTCGGGTCACATGATTGCTATGCACTAACAGTATTTATTTCCATTACAAGAAATCATCAATTTTAACGTAATGATTCTTCATTTCAAGGCTAAGCACTTTCCCAAGTCTCAAATCTCTTGAAGAAATTCCTTCTTTTCCTCAAAATACTTCTGAAACCACTCAATATGTTCAATCTTCTGTTTAACACTGAGGTACGGGTTTTTTGAAAGCCCACAGATGACTAGTTCCATGAAGTGTCGAATAGGTCCTTGCTTAGGAAAATCTTCGAGGTGTTTCTCCAGAAAGATATGTTCATGAAATTCAGCATCTTCCTCCATCCCTAACAGAAGGGACAAACAAAAACCCAAAAAAACATACAAACAAAAAAAAGTTATCATCATAATATAACAGCAAATATAAAAGTAAAAAATTATGTAGTTTGCAAAAAAGACTTAATTAAAATTAACGGTTCTGTGCCTTTTAATTCTTTTGCATAGTTAAGCCAATCACACAGAAGTGGAAGAAACTGCAGAATTTTAAAGCATTAATTTCTCCCTCCACTCAAAAAATGTCAGTGTATATCATACTCCTGTCTACCATATTACTTTCATTTTGTGCTCTCATTTATAAGAATATTTAATTCATCTTTCTGGCTGGTAATCTTGCTGAAAGTTGATGCCAGCATGGGAGCAGGGAGAATAAGTCAAAAAATAAATCAATTTTCTTGCTAATAACTTGTTTGTTCAACACACGAAAATTTTGATTCATCATGGCTACCATCTTCTAGACTGGGGACACTTTCTTAATAAATTCTGTAAGAGAACACCGATTGCCTAAGTTCTTCAGAATATTAAAGAATACAAGATAGTCGTGAAGAAATTAGGCAACTTTATCAAGTATCCAATACTGAACAGCTAACACACATCTGCATGTTTATTCCAAGTCATGCTTTTAACGTCCCAATGCTATCAAATGGGCAAAGAAAATTGGGGGTTTTTAACACCTTCCAAATCTGTAAGTGTATGCTGATGTAAAAGCATTGTGTATCTCTGCAGCTGCTACTTTTAAGTCATAACTAGCATAAAAATGATGCATTCAAAAGCATCCACAGGAGCATGGGGCAAGGGATTACTGCAGATCTCCAATCAAGCACAGCTCAGATCTCACGGTAAATTTTTGTTCTGTCCTGCGGATTTCCTCTGCTGTTGTTCATACCATGATGCTAGCATACACGAGACAAAGACTCGGAACACAAATTCCTACATACAGAAAAAAGGCTGCTTCCACAGTTCCCAATTCTGAGATTAAAAAAAACAAGGCAAACTTGGATCTGCAACTGAAAGATTTTTTCCTCAGTTAGGGATACATGAAAATTTTCAGTTGATCCCAATTTGCTATAGATTTGTAAATTACATTTGCACCTTTAAGAAAAAAAATCTATTACTAGAGAAATATATTGCATATGAACATCTCCAGGTGACAAAAATGGGAAGTCTAGACCATAAAAGTACATGGTTTTCTATACTACCTAGGAAATTATGTATTATTTGACAACATTAAATCGGTAGTATTAGAACTGAAGTAATTAAGCCATGTCAGTCCTAGGCTCCCTCCTGTGTTAGAGCTTCTACAGTTTCAGAAGAAATGATGCACACCTCTGGGACGGAGGAGTCTCTCAGCTTGTATTCATTAAGGCTGCACTGTTTCTTTCCTGCTTTAAACTTCAGGTACCGCAATATCTGAAAGAGCTGGGAAATACTTATATTTTTCCCAGAAATGTGTGAGTGGATCAATACCAGCTACATGCCACATTTATCTCCCCTGTCCTTGAAAAAGAAAGCACGTTTCCTTTTTCACAAGTTCTCTTCTTTTTCCTTTAAGTTAAAAGGAACAACAACAACAACAACAACAACAAAAACACACAAAAAAAAAGGTCATCTCTGCTTCAGAAGGTGTGTTTCTGCTGTGCTTGGAAACCTCTGTCCCCTTACAGAAGCACAGAAATTGTCCTTTTACCATGCCACCCACACTGACTTTCCCCCAGCAAGGGAAGGTGGAACCTCACTGTCCCTGGATGTTGCTGGTTGCTTTACAAGCTAACAGCCTTTCCAGATTTCCATACTTTTGCTGGTCACAAAAACCCAAGAGAACTAAAGCAATGAGCACACTACTGAAAGAACCTGGCAGTAGAGTTTGGCCTTCTGGATGCTCTTCTTTTGGGGACTGGTACAGGGTATCAGGAGAGATTACGTTTAATTAATAATTTCACCAATTTTCACCTCTAACGTGAAAGAAATAAAACTATTTATAGTCTCACAAAGATGCGGGTCAGAAGAAAATATTACATCATATATTTCCATCTCCCGTTTGTCAAAGACATGACACATAGTTTAGGGATGAAGTGCTAGGTCCAAGCATTTCAGTTAAACCGCGTATTTCAGTCCTCAAAAAAATACAGTGTGCATCACAAAAAGAAACCACAATTGCCCAAAGCATCAAAGGCCGAGCCCTCTGGTGGGAAATGATTAGATGAGATACGCTCGCGTGGCTCCCCCCACCCCCAGCAAGCCATAACTCCTGCTGCACGAGAACAAGCAGCCCGTCCCTCAGCCTCCCCTGCACGGTCCTCAGAAACCTCATCTGAAAGAGCATGCACGGTGGGACTCTAAGGTGGAGGATTTTCTTTATTAAAGCAAGAAGCCACTCACTCTCAATATCCTATTTCCAATCCCCTTCACACTACAAGACAGAAAGCCTGGGGAATTTCTCTAGCTAAAACACTAACCCTTCCACGCCATGACCCCTTAAAGATGACATCTCACATGCGGATGTCCACCCGTATGGGGAGTGTTGCTGACATGCTAGAAAGATGACCAAGTATCCTGACCTAGTGGAAGGGGTCCCTGCTCATGGCAGAGGCTGTGGACCAGATGATCTTTAAAGGTCCCTTCCAACACAAACCATTCTAGGATTCTAGGAGCTTTCGAATGAGATAAATTGTGCTCTTACAGCAGGTCCCTAGAATAGACCCAGAATTAGTAAAAGCAACCCCTCTAAAATAGTTGTGTAATGTTTGCCACCTCCCTTGGCAAACTGATCCAATGCTTCTCTGCTGGGAAGAGCACCGCAGCAAAACAGGACTTGAACTTTTGCCTACAGAAGCCATCAGAGGCAACCGAGGCATTAATTTTCCGAGACTCCCCTTAAACCTATCACTTCTGTCGTAACAATCTCTGGCCCACCAAAAGCATTTGCTCCTCAGAGTGAGGTGCTAAAGCAAAGTGGTACCAGTAATCTGCACTGTCCTTTTTAACAACTGCATTCCTCAGGATTTGAGTCATCAAGGCATAAATGCGCATAAATCATTTTTAAAAGTGGCAGAAATCAACGTTTTCCCCAACTTCTTCCCATGGCAACTCACGGAGCAGAACTGAAGCTACTAGAAGCAGAAGAGGCAGGCAGAAAGGAGGAGGAGTGACAACGATGTTTCGCAAGCTATACTAATGGTTTGCTAATCTGGTAAAAATTAATCAGAGCTCGGAGGGAAAAAAAAAGTAGTTTTCTGCCTAAGAGTGACTTCAGCTGCATCAGATAAGGGAAAGGAGAGGCAGGCAGGAGCAGCCAACAGGGCAGAGGGGAACAGGGGGGAAGACTGCTACTGGCCACTGCAGCAAGCCAGCATGTCTAGCCACATCTTCTGGCCTTCACACCAAGGCCAGGGACGTTTTAAAAGCCAGGACCTTGCCCTGATGCCGCAAAGCGCAGCACAGTGCCTTGCGAAAGCACTCTAACGAGAACACCAGAGATGCTCTGCAGCCAAGGGAAAGTTAAGCACTCTCCCTTCTTTCCGATATTCCATTTAAAATTTTAAAGGCTTTCAGAATGCTAAAAGTTGAGTATATGTGCTTCCTCGATAGAAAATGTCATTACAGTTATGTTTTTAAAGCCGCGTGCTTGTGGCATAAAAGAAAAATCAGATGTTTCTTGCTACAGCACGAGCTGAGGTAATGTCCTCCTATTGGGGGAAATGACTGTTACAGAACTGCAAAATTAACAGCAGGAAGGGGCATCTTTCTTTTGCAGAGCCACTGAAATTACAGTAGGTTGATATAACTGGAGCAAGGTTCTCAAGGTTTTAACTGAGTTTTGACACACCTGATCCGATTAACAGCCCGTGGCTGGCAGATTGATAGGATGGAATTTACCGACTTGATATTTCAACCTGAGAGGTGATAGATTTTGGAACGCCGCACTGGAATTTTCCACATGACTAGTCTTTGCGGACAAATCAATAAAGATTCTTGTTTAAGTAGATGTAAAGACTCTTTGTCCGTTCGCCGTCCCACCCCAGACAGCACGGTTCCGGCCGCGTTGCTGCAACAGAAAAACCATCGGCCGCCAAAGACGCCTGGTCCACTTACAGCCCCAGACAGCAGGGTTCCAGCCACATTACAACAACAGAAAAACCATTGGCCACAGTGGTTTTAAGCCTGCAAAAACATGACTAGAGTATACTCAGATTTCTACATGATGGAACAGATCAATTCTGGGAGCAGTGATTAAATTCTGTGAAGAAATTGCCAAAATAGGATGAGAATAAACATTAAGAAACAATGAACCACATTATGCAATTTGCAACTCCGTATAGGACAGATTTTCAAAAGACTCCCAGCTTCAGATACTAACCTGTTTTGCTTTTGGTCACTGAATCATTCTAAAGTAGTTCTGTTTGATGTCTTCAAAGTCTTTTTTAAAAAATAAAACCACTGCCAAGCTCCCCCTGAAGTTGTGAAGTCCCCTTTCCTGAAGTGTACACTTGTGGTGTGTAGTTGTTCTTCCTTTCCTTAACATTTGCTCTCTCTCTGCTGGCTTAACTTCACACAGAGTTTGGTTTGTTTTGGTTTGGTTTTTTTGGGGTTTTGATTTTTTTGGGGGGGTTTGTTTTTTTTTTTTTTTTTAATGGTAATAGAATTAAATACAGTGCACAAAGATGTCTAGTTAAGATAGATGCCCAGAGTGAGTGAATATTGTGACTGCTTGTTCTTATGAAACAGCCAGAACAAAGGGAGCAAACTGTTTAAGACTCGGCGGCACGGATATGGAACTGGCAGAGAGCTGATTAGGATCCAGCTGGTCACTTGGTCTGAGAGCCACACGGAAGAACAGAATCAGCATTATGAAACCCACACCCCAGTTTTAAGATTCTCCATCCTCTGCTAGAAGCTTCTGTAAAGAAGTTGCATAGTTAAAGGTATTATGTAATAGACTTGAACGGCCTTTTGGTGTTGAAAGCGGAGGGAGGGAGGGAGGGAGGGAGGGAGGGAGGGAGGGAGGGAGGGAGGGAGGGAGGGAGGGAGGGAGGGAGGGAGGGAGGGAGGGAGGGAGGGAGGGAGGGAGGGAGGGAGGGAGGGAGGGAGGGAGGGAGGGAGGGAGGGAGGGAGGGAGGGAGGGAGGGAGGGAGGGAGGGAGGGAGGGAGGGAGGGAGGGAGGGAGGGAGGGAGGGAGGGAGGGAGGGAGGGAGGGAGGGAGGGAGGGAGGGAGGGAGGGAGGGAGGGAGGGAGGGAGGGAGGGAGGGAGGGAGGGAGGGAGGGAGGGAGGGAGGGAGGGAGGGAGGGAGGGAGGGAGGGAGGGAGGGAGGGAGGGAGGGAGGGAGGGAGGGAGGGAGGGAGGGAGGGAGGGAGGGAGGGAGGGAGGGAGGGAGGGAGGGAGGGAGGGAGGGAGGGAGGGAGGGAGGGAGGGAGGGAGGGAGGGAGGGAGGGAGGGAGGGAGGGAGGGAGGGAGGGAGGGAGGGAGGGAGGGAGGGAGGGAGGGAGGGAGGGAGGGAGGGAGGGAGGGAGGGAGGGAGGGAGGGAGGGAGGGAGGGAGGGAGGGAGGGAGGGAGGGAGGGAGGGAGGGAGGGAGGGAGGGAGGAGGGAGGGAGGGAGGGAGGGAGGGAGGGAGGGAGGGAGGGAGGGAGGGAGGGAGGGAGGGAGGGAGGGAGGGAGGGAGGGAGGGAGGGAGGGAGGGAGGGAGGGAGGGAGGGAGGGAGGGAGGGAGGGAGGGAGGGAGGGAGGGAGGGAGGGAGGGAGGGAGGGAGGGAGGGAGGGAGGGAGGGAGGGAGGGAGGGAGGGAGGGAGGGAGGGAGGGAGGGAGGGAGGGAGGGAGGGAGGGAGGGAGGGAGGGAGGGAGGGAGGGAGGGAGGAGGGAGGGAGGGAGGGAGGGAGGGAGGGAGGGAGGGAGGGAGGGAGGGAGGGAGGGAGGGAGGGAGGGAGGGAGGGAGGGAGGGAGGGAGGGAGGGAGGGAGGGAGGGAGGGAGGGAGGGAGGGAGGGAGGGAGGGAGGGAGGGAGGGAGGGAGGGAGGGAGGGAGGGAGGGAGGGAGGGAGGGAGGGAGGGAGGGAGGGAGGGAGGGAGGGAGGGAGGAGGGAGGGAGGGAGGGAGGGAGGGAGGGAGGGAGGGAGGGAGGGAGGGAGGGAGGGAGGGAGGGAGGGAGGGAGGGAGGGAGGGAGGGAGGGAGGGAGGGAGGGAGGGAGGGAGGGAGGGAGGGAGGGAGGGAGGGAGGGAGGGAGGGAGGAGGGAGGGAGGGAGGGAGGGAGGGAGGGAGGGAGGGAGGGAGGGAGGGAGGGAGGGAGTTCTCTCCTTTTTGGCAGCAGCCAGTCCTCAGATCAGCCAAACCACCTGCAGGACTTCACCTGAAGAGTGCCAGAACGAGTTTATTTGAAGCATCTCTGATTTGGGACGGTTGGAAAGCTGTATTTGTTTACTATAAAATGCATGACTCATAGCTGAAATACTATGCTAAAACAGTCAGGTCATAATATGCTCTAACTCTCAATAAAGATAAATATAGACAGATAATAACAGTTAACAGTGCACGTACCAGCTTCATTGTCAATTGGGAACTCCCACAGTATTCCTTCTTTTGTCCACTGGATCATCTCCTCAAAACCGTTGCGGGGAGGCTGTGCAGTTACTGCTGCAATCTCCTTAGCAAATTCCAGATCCCAGATTGTTGGTGGAGATACTAACAAAGACATTTTGTAAAGATCTGTTAGTATGCCAAAGAATTCTCATTAGTTAAAACAAAGTCCTTTAACCTCTACAGAGACTAATACTTTCATCTGCAAATTTTTCTGCCTTAAGATGCCAGCATCACCTTTCTCAAATGAGAATCCTCTCTTGAAATCAACGTCCATTAAAATCTCAAATGTCTGGTGAAAACATATTCTGAACTCCTAAGGGACAATTTATCTTTAAGCCTTTCACACAGAACAGGAATTTAATTCTTCCAGTCCTTTTCTCCTTTTTGATTTTCACAAATTGTACATACAACAAACTCTGACCTTGACTGGTGCACTCTGCTAAAGGAACCTTGCTTACTACAGGAGTTTCCAGGCACTTCGCAACTATGCTCTCCTTCAGGGAGACAATTCAATACACAGATGATGGCAATTTCTTCCCCAACACTCATAAGCATCCCAGTTTTGTCTCTTGGGCTTGAAAAGCCCCGATTTCCTATCCTTCTCCCCAAGTCAAACAGTCCCTTTTAAGGATGCATCTTTCCTAACACTTTTTTTTTTTTTTTTTTTTTTTTTTTCCCTTAAATCAGAGTGTACTCACAGGGCAGCAGAGCTGCTCTTAAGAAGCTCCTGCCCCTCCACCCAGGAGCACTGGTCACGAGCCCAGACTGAACCGCACGGCTGGAGCGAAGGGAACAAGCTGTCACGGCGGGACAGGGCGGAAGGGCTGGGCGTGCCCCGGGCCGGGTCTCACGAGCTGGCCCAAGTCCCCATTCCCCTCTGTTTTCTTGTCTCCCCCCCGTTATCAATCCACCCTCAGCTCCCTGGAACAAAGATCTTGATGTGAATTCAAATCCTACGGTCCATTTGAAGTGGATCATGGCCAATCAGCTATTATTTTACCACTCATAAGTGTAAGGATCCGAAACTTAAGATACAAATTCACCTGTGGCTCAGTGGCTTACAACTCAGTTGGATTTAAAAAAAAAAAAAAAATTTCCCCCCTCCTTTAAAAAAATAAACAAAATGAAAGGGCAAACAGTATTTTTATGTACTGAAAAGGGTTTTCATTTTTTGTGTTAAATCAGAAGATACTTTTCCAAATTAGTTATTACTTAGCAGGGAGATTTCCAGATCTATATTCCCTAGTTGCCTACTTCTATTTGAAGGCTGGAGGCAGGAATAAAATACAGATACAAGACAACATGAGAAACCATGCCGGAATTAAATTATTGTCTACATCTTTAAGAATATCTTCTAATAATGCGCAACTAATAAATCTTCTAATGGAAGAGAGCAGAAACTATTTTTTTCAAGCTTGCAGCAAAGGTAATAAAGATTTTATTTTCACCTCTGTGAAACAGAAAAGAATCCTTATATTTTACGTTAACAGTTATGAATAATTTTTTTTCAGGATGCCAACATACTTTCCAGTTAATATTCAGGTTTTCAAAATAAATATTCAATACATAACACAGAACTTGCTGTTCTGTCATGTACAGACAATATTTTAATTCATTATCTCCACTAACACGAGCCAAGAAAGTGAAAGCAAATGAATCAAGGTATCAAGTATCACACTGGTATTTCCAGAGATTAACACAAAACAATTTTTGGTCATCAGGCTTAGCCAGTAAGCCAAGTAATAAATTTCCTGGATTAGAATATATTGTAGATTTCCTCCAGGCTACCTAGAATCGAACAAGAAAACACCACATAAAAAGCTGAAAGAAGCTTAATTCTTTAATTACAGGTCCAATAAACTCCACTTGCTCTCTTACAAAACTGGAATGTGCACAAATTGTGTGTTAAAAAAAAAGCGTATCTCAACTTTTTATCTAGGGTGACTACTATGTGCTATTGCATCTGCACTGGGCTCATGCAAAAAAAGAAAGGTGAAATTCCTACCATTCTACCTGAGAAAATTTGATTCAACTCATAGGCCAGTTACTTGAAGACCCTATTTGTCAAGATAGATGAAAACAAACACTGCATCATACATTATGTTTTTGTATGTAAAATGGGCCTATTTTAAGGAAATCGGCAGTCTTAAAAAACAGCAAATCGAATCCCCTTCTAATAAGCAACCTTCATAGTCCACCACAGAGGGGGCTGCATTCAGAAAGCTCACAGCTGCTTGGAAATATGCAAATAGCACTATCTGACATTTTACTAAATAGGTTAAGTAAACAAATTAATTTCTCCCCAGCGTTTCAACTGGGGGGGGGGGAAAAGGAAAAAACTACTGAGATAGAATCTGGCAAAAACTAACAGTCCTACTCTTGAAACGGAAACAAATGCATATAATTTTCTAAGGTATCAGAGAAGAATACTATTTCTGCAGCTGCTAGCTTTATATATAGTTCTAAGTCAGCACACTGGAATACAGTCTTTTTTCTAAAGGGCCTCTGAATAACTTAGGGAAATCGGCCTACTAAAGACCAGTGCTAACAACGCACAGTTTCATTGTTCAGGAAGAAAAGTAGGGGAGTTCTTTACATGGCTCGCCCATATTCACAAACTCTTGGCCAAATCCCAGTCTGCAGCAAAGCTAAATCGCCATGCGCCAAAGCCGTCCCCGTGCTGCGGCGCTGGCTGCTCCCGCAGAGCTGTGCCATTCAGTGAACAGGACGGTGAGTCACACCTGGCTTTTGTCATCTTACGTGAGTTTTGGCATCTGTATTTGGAGGCTAAGAAACTGGCTGGACGGTCGCACCTGGAGATCAGTGGTCAACAGCAAAATGTCTGGATGGAGCTCAGCGACAAGCGGCGTCCCCCCGGGGCCCGTACTGGGACCAGCAGTGTTTAGTGTCTTCATCAACTTCAGAGACAGCGAGATCGAGTACATCCTCAGCAAATTTGCAGCTGACACCAAGCCGAGTGATGCCACTGACACGCCTGAAGGACAGGATGCCAGCCAAAGGAACCTGGACAAGCTTGAGAAGCGGGCCCATGTGAACCTCCTAAGGTTCAACAAGGCCAAGTGCAAGGTCGTGCGACTCCTGATATCAATACAGCTGTGGGAACAGCCCCGAGGACTTGGGGATCCTGGTGGCTGAAAAACTGGGCGTGAGCCAGCAATGGGCCTTCACAGCCCAGAAAGCCAACTGACTTCATAAAAAGAAGTCTGGCCAGCAGGTCAAGGGAGGCGATTCTCCCCCTCTGCTACGCTCTGGTAAAACCCCACCTGGAGTGCTGCAGCCAGCTCTGGAATCCTCAGCACAAGACAGACAGGGACCTGTTGGCGTGGGCCCAGAGGAGGGCCACAAAAACGATCAGAGGGCTGGAACAGCTCTCCTATGAGGCCGGGCTGAGAGAGTTGGGGTTGTTCAGCCTGGAGAAGAGAAGGCTCCGGGGAGACCTTACTGAGGCCTTTCAGTGCTTAAAAGGGGCTTATGAGAAAGATGAGGCCAGACTTTAATAGGGCCTGCTGCAATAGGACAAGGGGTAACGGTTTTAAACTAAAAGATGGCAGATTCAAACTAGAAATTTTTTACAATGAGCGTGGTGAAACACTAGAATGGGTTGCCCAGAGAGCAGATAGAAGCCCCATCCCTGGAAACATTCAAGGTCAGGTTGGACAGGATCTGAGCAACCTGATGTAGCTGAAGATCTGCTTATTGCAAAGGGTCGGACTAGATGACTTTCAAAGGTCCCTTTCCAACCCAAACCATTCTCTGATTCTAAACTCATATGAAGAGCTTTACAGTAGGTAAAGCGAGGTGTCGTTTGTCAGCCGCTCACAGGGTCTTTCAAACTACACCTACAACACTAAACAAGAGAGGGCCACAAAGCAATCAAATGATTCTGGGTTTTCCCCACCCTACTCATGCTTAGCCACCCATGGGGCACGCTTGTTTCCCTAGGACCACAGCCTTCTGTTTCTTTGCCATAAAATGAATGCAGCAAGTTCGCAACTTGACCAAATAAGCTACTGGAGCCAACACACCCATTCTCCGGGCTGGTTTTACATTCCCAGAAGACAGACTGGCCTTAGGGACAAAAAGCCAGTTTTACCCTTCAAGTTCAGCAACAGACTTTCCTGATTAGTACAGAAAACACTGATCTATTACACTGCATGGAAGTTTTGCTTACTAAAAAAATCAGAGTTACATTAAAGTATTTGGTTTTTTATAATTCTGAAAGCAGGAAGTTAACAGGTCGTAAGTCTCCTTCACAACAGTCAATTTCTTGATATTCTAAAAATTCAGATCTTGGCTTCACAGGGTTTTTCATTATTGAATTTCCACTAACCTGTTTCCAGTCCGTTTTCTGTTTCTTTAGAAGCCTTAGTGAATATATTAAGCCGCCTTCCTACTTTGAGACTTCTATAAACAAAAAAGAAAAATGATATTTAGTATTTCACAACACTTCACAACATTGCCAGATAACAAATTTAAAAGCACAAAATATTCTCATGAACAGATCTCTAGAGAAAAAAAAAAAAAAAAAAAAAGGAGATAGTGTCTCTCACTAAATCCTCAGGCTTTTAACCAGAGAAAGTGTTTATGACTTTATTATTTGCCTGCAACAGAGCTTCCCAAAACATTTCCCAGGGAAAGAATGAGCATAAATCAAACATTATATTTGCAGCCATCTTCTACTGAAATATTTAGGATTCTGAAAGCAGCTAAACAGTATCAAACCACAGTACTCAAGCAATTTTACAAAGTTGCAACTAAAAAGTGAATCTGGTGATTTGGGCTTTTTCCCTGTAAAAAATATTGCACAATTCAGGAATAGAAAAGGCAACAGCTAAACCAAAAAATTCCTGCCTTATGACATAAATAGCCTTTTGGAAGATTTCATAGCCACCTTCTCTGCCATATGGCAAACACACAAAGTATATCTGTATATTTTAAATAGCATCACCCTGATGCTCTCTCTTCTGAACATAAAAATATTTCACTCTGATCATCTATTTTTTAAACATATTTATATTTAGCATAAACCTATACTGAAAAAAATTAAAAATCCAAGAGTAATCAAAATAAACTTTCTTATAAACAGAAACAAAGAGAAAACAATGCCTTTACTGTAAACACACTGAACTTTAGAACAAATCATTCTTTTAATCATATAATCTTCCAGATTTCCACTGAAATTACAATAGTTCCTACTTTATATTATTACATATCCACTGTTACCCTGGCAATACTTGCCCTTCCTGACCTTAAAATTTTACCTCTCTGGATTTATTGCAGATTTCTGATGGCCACAACTACTTCTGCAAACCTGCTCTTGTCATATTACATTTTACTGATGTAACTACCCTGGATCTGTTTCAGCACAGAGCAGTCTAACTACAGAACCTTAAAAGAATGTTGATTTAGGATTGCATTTTCCTATCTGTAATTCCCAATAACATTGGCTGAAGATACAAGCATGACTTGGAAGAACATTTATTTTAAAATTACTAGTTCAAATTACCATAAAGCTACACCACTCATTTCACTGAACTCTACTAACTTGATTTAATCTTAGATCCTCTTCCCAACCTGCTCTTTTCATATTATCAATATATAAGTATACCTGTTACAATCTTGAGGGATGCAGGAGGAAACTCAGGACTTAAACTGGAGGCGGTTTGCTCATTACAGGGATTTTAAAAGTATTTTAGAGTACTGCTCCTGAAGTTATATGCCAAATACAGTTTCATCACACAAAGAGGGCAAGACAGCTTCTCACATGTCATAAATTTAATAAATGTTCTCAAACATAAGTGAAATTCACTTTGCAGTATGTTAATAAAGTTCAGCAAAGATATAAAATAACATACACTGTACAAGCATGTAATAGCTCAGGTTTTCAGTTCATGCTTCTAGATCATATTATTTCTATTCTTTCAAACTTTGAGAAACTTTTAATCCAACACTTTATTTAAAGTATTTCTCATAATCAGTCAAGAATCACAGCGCATCAACGAAGTTATTTTCATGTGACTACCAACTCTGTTAATTATCCCTAGATTAAAAATATCTAGAGCTATTCAGCAGCTGATAATAAAGCCAGTTGCCTTGCTGCTCAAATTGGCAGCTTATATATAGCTGAATGAAAACCCCAGGACAGAAATACCTAAGTCGAGAGGGCTTCGTCAAGAACCCTGTTCCACTTCTTCCCTTCAACCTCCGTTACAAGGAGCCCCTCTGGCACTTTCGACAAGCTTTGCATCAGGAAGAGAAAACACTGCTTTCTGGCCTCACAACAGTGCGGAGGCCCAAGAGATACTTCCCTAACACACCTTAACAGTTTGGCCGTTCAAGAACAAGGAAGCTCCTCAGTAACATTTCAGCAAGCAGGTTAAGTTCTTTTAATGACTGGCTATAAGCCGCCACTTTGACGTTTCTGCATGATCTACCTGGCCCAAGGCATACATTCCAGTTTGTTCCTTATGGGAAGCCACAATTTTTTATTTGTGATATACTGAAATAGATGTCTCAGCCAAAGAGGGCTGAACATTGTACATCTCATCACCCAAAAATTTAGGGGGTTTGGTTTTGTTTTGGTTCTTTCCTTAGTTATCTAAATTCTGTCCTCAGTATTATCTATCTAAACACAAATTACTCCCTCAACTTCCAGCCCCTAACCCCAAGAAAAGGGGATTAATTTGCAAAATAAATTCATGATTAGAGAAGTTAATCTTACAAAAACAGAACCGCTAGAGAAAGAACATATTGAGAAGGTATGCGCTGATGAGCTGCCATGGGAAAATCGAAAGACTACAGGCAAGAAAACACAGCTTACAGCAATAAAACAAAAAATTAAGAGCACTCCTTAATTCATTAAGAAATAGACTGGCCACAAACCAGCAGCAAGATAAATTTAAGAAGTGTCCTGAAATCGTAAGTTAAAAAGTTCATTTCATAAACAATTATAACATCACAGACAACAGAGAAATTAATCACAAAATGACTTATTAGTTGCAACAAGGTGGTAAAAAAAATAAAAAAACCCTTTAAAATCTCTTTAAAACCCTAACAGAATGGATGAAACTTTTCTAGATACAAAACATTTATCGAAGTTTTCCAGTAGATGAAAGTAAGCCTTCAAAGCCTCCATTTCCCAAAAAGTGGTACAAAATTGTATTATGCATAAGTGAGAATAATTTAAACTAGTTAAAACAAACACAGTTACATTTCAGCACCATGTCTTTTTAATTATCTAAAATTATTTGATTAGCTGCTTAGCATTAACTAGTGCGTTCTCCCAGAAGTTTATTTCAACCCTAACAGTACTTTCCTTGAAAATTACTTAAGTAATTTCTTTAAAGCTCTGAAATACCATGGTAACATGAATACATACAACTAAATTTAATATATTAACCATTAGTAATTGATTGCACACTCCTTCTATTGGAAGGGAACACAACAGTAATACCTTCTGGAGTCAAAAGACTGAGATGACAATTTTCCAGGCTTGATTCTTTGACCATCCTCATCCATCTCCAAGGAAACACGTGCGGATATTCTCACATCTCTCTGAGCTGGGGACTGCCTCTTAACTGCCATTTCTGAAATAACATTCCTGAAATTAAAAACATGAAGCTAAGAACTCAACAAAGCAAGGAAGTCTGTCATAGGTACTAACCAGAAGCTCTACTCTCAGTTGGTTTCATAAGCCCCTGTAAGACAGAATTATACATTCCTTACAAAATACACCCATTTTTGAGTCATTAAACATTCAAGTCTTACTTTTTAAATCACATCAGTCGTTACATTCTAGATAAATGAAATGAAAAGTGCTATTTTAACCTACTAAATCTACAATGAATGCTTTCTTTGAATATTATTTAGTTTATAACTAAAAAAAAGTGTCATATATCTGCATACCAATATTCACAAAGTGCACTAGGTATGTTTTGCTTAAGTAAACGAGGAATTTCTCCGGATATAAGGAATACACTGAAATAGAGAGGTATAAGTCACCAGCTTTTTGGACAGGAACCAACACTGCCCAGGGACAGAGCTGTGCTGCTACAGACCAAAAGAAAGCTTGCCTTCACACATCACCTGACGTGGGTCAATCATGCCACCCTAATAAGTAGGTCACCTTTCCTGAACCACTGCAACCTCCAGCATTGCATAATCATATTATAGCATTAACAGACCACGTCCTCCTTTGTAACTCTGTTGTCAAAATCATTCGTGGAGAGCAAATGCTCTGATCTCTTCCAGTGCTGCATGCAGCGCATTCTGAACGCTAAGGACAAAACACACCACCTTGCTGCCTCCGCCAGGCAGTGCCCTTAACTGGTCAGTCTGTTGGCTGGCAAAGACCAAAGCTGGTAATTCTTCCTCACAGCTATCCTCTCCGCCCAAGCGTTTCCAGTAACACGCAGTCATCCAAAATTGCAGTGCTCAAGTTTTAAGACATAAATACGGTCTCAAAAAATAAAAACAGGCCACGTAAAAAATACTGCATACCCATTTTATGAAAATCTGAATGAAATTCAAACTATGTCTTTGGCAGCTTAAGTCAAAAGAGATTTTTACTGACAAGAAAGAAATACTTCTGGAAAATTGTAAAAGCTAATTGCCACAGCAACACAGTAGGATTTCTCTTCTGTCTTAGATGTGGTTTCAAATGGCAGAACAAGAATAGCACAGCTCTTCAAGCACCTATTCTGAAAGAAAGGCAGCTGAAAACAAGTTTTAAATAATCTCATTTTAATCTTAAAGAAGAAAGAATCTCAGATTAGTTGCGTATCCCACACTAGAAATTACTCTATGGAGAGCCTACTGGCATTAGTTAGCTGGTGTTGGGCCAGAGGCTTGCCACACTTCTGAGGGTCAAGGGGACATAATTCATAAGGTCAGCCACACACAGCCGAGCCCAACTGCCTGACTCGGCTGCCACCTAAAAGGCTGCAGTGCTCCCCTGCTGCAGGGGGATCAGGCTTGCTCAGAGAAGCTCTCCTCACGGCTGATGTTGATTTATTTGGAGTTTTGCACAGTAGGTCTGGACAGACCGTGCCACCAAGCTATCAGCACACGTGGTCGATCTTATCGTATTTCTCACTGGGAAGTCCCAACGTCACACTATCACTGGTATATGAACATTTCTGGCAGGAACATTCACCACTCCATCATTAAAAGTGACCCTGTATTAACTAAAAATAAAACTACAAAGATGTTTTAACGCCTTCTGTAACAAAAAGCATCAGATTCTGAAGTCATACTCCAACTCCAGTTTATCTACTGTGGTTAGATACTACCTCGTGTCCCAGCATGAGGTTGAAAACCTAAATTCATGAGGTTAAAAACCAAAGTTCCTAGATACTCCTGCCTTCCAGAGATGGGAAGAGGTAGAGCCTTTGCAACACCCACAAATTCTCTCTCCTTCCTGATTACCAACCAATAATTATAATACTAAAAATGGAGACACGAGAAGCTGATAGACTCTAGCCTAAAGCTCTGAATTACTCTTCTTCTTCTTCACCCAGAACAGGAGCTGAAATTTCCACGTGTAGCGCTACAGATTTTATTTTGGTATAGTGCTGTTGTAATTTCCACTGAATGAAACTTCATCCCACGCTGAGAAAAATAAATTCCTGTATCGTTAATATTTTCCCCTCCTAGCGAACACGCTGTCCTCACACTGTCTACAAAACAAGGCAACAAGACAACTGCATACAACAGTGACCTCTGGAGGTCATGCCACAATTCGGGAAAAAAGTTACTACAAACCAAGAGAGCTGGACAATATACAATTTATTACATATCAAATCTCAATAGCAGTACCCCAGTTTTTTGCAGTTGAGCATTTAATGTCTCTACTGCTTGTAAAGTTACCTCATTTTTAAACAGTTTTAATAACAGAGGGATATATACTGGCTTTTACAACGTGTCAGTATATTGAATACAAAACTTTTCTGTAAAAAATTAGAAGTTAAATCGCTCGTATTTTCTTGTTATCAAATAAAATTCAACACAAAATAATCACGTATGAATAAAATTAATTGTCTTCTAATAAATTAAAAGCATTTTAGTGCCTTATGTAGACTGGAGTATTCTGGAGTATAAAGTCATGTCCAAGCACATCTGATGCCTGCTGGGCTTTTTAAAATAAAAATTTTAACACGCTGATCAGAAAGCTGAAAGTACCACATTTATCTCAGAGTCTGACTGTGAAAGGTTACTATTAACCAAGTTTTAAGTCATGAAAATCAGGAGTTGCTGGTCTTTCTTGAAAGCTCACGCACCGATAAGAGTTTCAAATTGTTACCTAACCGTTAAGGAAGAAAATGGAACTTTTCAGCATATTGGGGGGAGGGGAGGAGAGACACACACACCACAACTCACACAGAGGTGAGGAAGTATATTCCCAGGGGTAAACAAGCTAGTGTACAAAGCTGCCTCCGAGAGTACAACTTGACAACTCAAAGCACAGCAAGCCAGCCATGACATTCCTAGCCAACCAAAGAGGCTGGTTTTGGTTGAGGAAAATGCATTTTTTTAACCATTTTTTAACCATAGTGATTCATGCACAAGAATGTTATAAAATATTGTAGTAGCACATGTTAACCCATCAATCAACTATATGGAAGTACCATACAGCTGCAGGCACTTCAGCTTTTATATTTCTAAAAAATTTAAACTGTCAGAAGAAAAAAAAAAAACTTTTTGCTTATACAACTTCCTTAGACACCTTCTCTCTTCCACAGCAGTCACAGCTGGCTAAGTGCTTCAGGAAAAATGCAGTGGGTGGTGAGGACAGCAAGCCCTTGATGCCAGTAGGCAGACAAACCACATTTAAAGAACAGTATGTATACCTTAAAGAATAGATGCAGGCACGTATGAGGTTAGCCTCGGCATGCATTAGCTCAGTCAGTATCAGTACAGTCCTCCAACATCTTATCAGGTACTGAAGTAGGTCTTAATTACGTTTAAGTTGGCCACCCACAGCCAATGCCATTATTAACACAACTGTGTACTCTGCTCTTCTGTAAACCACAATGACAGAGATGGAACGACCTCACTGGGAATTAATAGTTTAATGAACATATGTTTTATATAAAAATAGTCCTTACTTATCCTCCTTACATTAGGAAGTGTCTCAAGTTTTTGGTAATACTGCACAGAAAAAACAACAACAACAAAAAAGATCAGAGGTCTGGCTGTTTGGTGTAAAGCTATTCGTTTTGGCTCCAAGAGCCCCTGGGGAGAGAAGCTTCTGTCAAGTTCCTCAGATCTCCTGCATTCATGCTGAAAGGACATTATGAAAACAGACCACACCCCCAGGCTTTGGAGATGCTTGCACGTGCTACCTAAAACTATACTTCCTCCTCAAACAGCACAGATTTCACACATTTGGAAAGAATTTCATTCTGCTCTCCACAACCACCATTAGCGCTCTTGGTAGACAGAATCATCAATACAGGCTAAGCTGAAATGGAAACTTGCACAATTTCTCTCCCTTTTCCCTGGACAACCTCTGAAGAACATGCATCTTGTTTAACAAAGTTATTCACTGACCACTGTGCCTCCCAATCTATCTGTAACCATCTAACTCGATCTATTCGCAAGCACCTGTCACACCATTCCTTAGTATTCCCTCCCATAAAGGGCAGCCATCAACCACAAGCATTATTAGTTTATTGGCTACTCTGTTTGCAGTTCGCTGATAAATATACAAAGCAAATCCTTTATTGATCCCTAGGAGCAACCTACAAATAACAATACAATAATGGGCGAAACTTAAATCCTGGTTTGGGACAAATTAATTTTCACGGAATAAAATAAGATAAGCAGCTTGCAGCTCACAAACAGCCATAAGTAAAGGTTTCAAAAATCCTATTTTCCTGAAGATTTTCTCTGACATTTTCTGTTTAGTTCAGCATTTCACCTGGATTTAATGCCTTATTTTCTGAGTAGTTATATGACTACTAGCTGGAAAAAAAAAAAAAAAAAAAAAAAAAAAAACCAAAAAAAACCACGAACGAAAAATCTGTCTTCAGCCATCATCCAAAAGAGCAGTATCCACAACTGTTTTAGTTTCCAAACAAATGTTTCTCATCTGCTTGAAAACCACACTGGAAACGGAGTTAAGCCAAGAGATGAGTTTCTTAGGTTGACTGGAAAGTTTTGTAAGGAAGGGTGGGGCTATAAATAGAGCTGCTCTAGTTCAGTTCTGCAGAGCTGTCATGAAAATTCACCAGTCCAGACAGAACGTCTGAAATGTCTACAAATCCATCCATTGTGTGAGAATTTTGGAAACTTGGGGGAAAAAAAAAAAAAAATCTGTTATTTTGCTACCCTGTCCAAGGAAGTAATGGTCCTGGGCAGGGAAACAATTCCATTTCTGCAAAACCATTTTAGAACGAGGATGGCAAAATTTAGGGAGTTCAGTATAACCAGACCAATGGTGTTCCCAACAGTCGTTAATTCCAAGGGTAACCTGTCCAAACGTATCTTTTAGGGCCATTTTTCCAACACAGAACCCAGTCACCTTCAAGATGATATTGCAAAATCGGAATTTCAAACATTATTGAGAGTAAAATTCAATAAACAGACCGTATGTTAACAATTCCCTCCTTTTTCTGTATATCTGTGGTTTCTTCGTGTCTTCTTAGTTGTGCAAGTAGTTCTGATTCTGTCTGCTTCTTGTTGAACGGTAGGGAAGACGCAACTGCAGAAGCAGCCTCCACCAGTTTGGGATTTAAAGGCTTGCCTCTGTAAGAGACACAACAGATACAGAAAAAACAAACCAAAACAAAGTGCCTTAATATATTTAGTCATTTCCTACCGTCATTTTATGTCTTAACTCAGAAGTTACAGTTACACATTATCCCAAATGGGAGCGGCCAGGGGGTCGGCTGGGTTTGCCCTATGTTGCAGTAATCGTCAGCTGCCAAATGACACTGAGCACCTCTTGTTCTCAAACCTGTGAAAATGGGAGCCCTGTGCCACTGCACAGCCCCTGGGGCGCGAAGCTCGAAGACCAGAGGCAGCATAGAGCCGGGGGGTCATGGCCATGCTGGGACACACAGCGGCGGGGAGCCACTCGCAAGACTTGACAACCATGGTGCCATTCGCAAATTTTTTATCTTCTTCCTCAGTTTTATTGTATTTTATCTGAACAATATTCTCCCCCTCCTGTTACAATAACCTTCCGCAGGCAGATGCTCAGTGCAGAAAAGGTAGAAAGTATACAGTGTCTTTTGTCCAGATTCTTCCCTGCGATTTACTGCAATCTACATCTGTACAGCACATTCCCTTACAAGATTCTTTTCCATACTTGGAAATGATGTATGATGCTATTTTTTGTCCTAGATAATTAAAAAAAAAAAAAAAATCTGAAAAAAAAAAAGGAGAAAACAGACTAACAAAAGTTTGTTATACTTTACCGCTGGATGTCTTCTGTAGTTTGCTGAAGCACAGCATGTTCACTGTCCGGGCCTTCCAGCTTGTTTGTGTCTTGCTTTTTGACTTCACGTGCTTTTAACTGTTGGAGTTTATTCCTGTAGCTCACTTCTACTTTCATATTACCAATAATGTCTAGCAACTTCTGCTTTGGTGTTTCTGCTGCACCCTCCTGACTCTTCGATGCCACTTCAGTGGTGCTGTCGTTAGAAGCAGCAAGTTTATCATTCTCAGTAGAAAGCACGCTGCTTGTGCTGAAGAGTTTCTGTATTTTGCTAGATGATATACAAAGTTTTAAAAATAAATAAATAAATAAAAATCAGAAGTTACAACTAGGGTCCAAGGCTGAATTTTGTATGTCTACAAAGAAACCATCAGTTACAACTGTCTAGGCCTAACCAAGCGCAAACTGAGCGTGTTCAGTACATGTCAAACATGCACCTTTTGACTTTTGAGAAGAGCCATTTAAATCTCCTGATTATTTATAGTTTCTTCATCACAAAAAAAGTCAAGTAAACAACTTTATTTCCTCCACAAATAAAGTGTGTTTAATCTATGAACTTAAAACTTTTAAAGTATCTCTGCATTAGGCAGCAGACAGTTTCAATCTACTGGTATCTGATACTTAAAATTCATTAGTATTACAGAAAACTCACTGAAACTCTTCAAATGAGGCAACAAAGAGACCACTCCTAGCTGCCTGAAAAAAGACTGTACACACACATCTAGCTTCACATCGTTTCACACAAGTGGCACTACTATGGATCACATTCCCCTACCCTACGTCCTGCAAAATAGCAGCCAAGCATTTGTGCAGCCATATGAGGAAATGGATCCTCCTACAAAATAACCCAGTAACAAAAAAGCTGTTTTGGTTATTTTTCCCTCTGGAACAGCTCCTCTACCTAGTTTACCACATTACTGCAAAGTAGCTAAAATTGGCACAGTGCAGGCAACTATGTGAAGCCAGGGACAGCAGGGAGCTGATCAGGATACTGCTGCAACACAGACACAACTGGATTCTCTGGAAAAACTCCCATAAATTTCAAAGAACTCTCTAACACTTTGACTCTTTAACATTCTAAAATGAAATGTTAAATCTTTAAATTCACAGCTACTTGTTTAGTTTAAAACTCACCTTCAAGTTACTAAAATAAGGGAAAAAACCCTTACAATTAAATATTTATTTCTATTCAAAATAGAGGGCTTCAGTAGATCTTAAAACACTTCAACAAAACTGAAGGAATTTTGACATACCTTACGCGCACACACACACACACACCCCTCTAGCTAAAAAGGAAAAATCTGCTTTTGTGCTTTTTGTGCTTTTGTGGCACCAGATTATTTCAGTCACTCCACACTTAATAAATTGTCGGCATTCAATTGTCAGCATTAAACCCTAAATTTTGACGTGGAGAAGCAAGAGAGAAATTTAAGGAAGGCTTCGGAACCACATTATTGAGGAGATGGTAGGAGCCCTGCTGTTTTACACTGAGCAGCTCCCCACAGATCTTTTTCAAACACATGTTTTTCATTAATTCAGGCTGCACACTCCTTAAAACTATCCATTCAGAGATCTCTGCTCACACCGCCAGAAAAACACAGCAAGACTGCAAGCCTTAAACATTTATAGCCAGTAGCACACTGCAGTCTGCGTTACTGTATTTCACCTACCATCAGGTTTGCCTTCTGCTTGGAAGCTGAGGCTTAGAGAGCAAAACACAGAAGAAACCAGGCTGCTTTATACGAGAGGCTATCACAGTATCAGCTCGTTCAAAATTATTGAGGAGCTTTGAATGAATGAATGAATGAATAAATAAATAAATAAATAAATAAATAAATCGATCAATCACACAACTTACTTTTGGATAAATAAATAATTACATAAATAGATGACTTTTCATTAAGCGCAGTTAAAAGTCTTTTAGTACAAATAAAAACGAACTTCCAACTATTACTTCTGGCCCGCGCTTTGGGCAGGTACCCCCGCCGACACGCAGCACCACTCTGCTCCTGCCCACGCTGCAAAAATCACGCTCGCAGCGTGTCCTCCGAAGGAAGCAACGCAACCCAAACCGCTCCCCTCGGCCCCCACGGCCCCGGCCCACGGGTGCCAACACCACGCAGCCCCAGCCGGACAGACGGCCTCGGGCCCGAGCCCCCCCCACGCACCCGGCAGCCGAAGGCCGGGCGGCGGCGGGCGGGCACCCCGCACCCCGCTACAAGCGCCACAGTCGCGGGAGAAAGTCGCTAAAAACACGAGGCCCACGGCGGGCCGGCCCCGCCACCCGCAGCGAGCAGGAGCGGCTTTACCCGGGGAGCTGAGGGAGCCTCGTCCCCCCTCAGAGAGCCGCGGCTCGGGGCGACGCGCGGCGCTGCCGTGGACACCGCCCGGCAAAGCCACCCACCCACCCACCCACCCTCTCCCCCGTGTGAAGGATTCACGGGAGGCGACGGTACCTCTGCGGCCTCCCCGCCGCCTCCCAGGAGCGCACGGCCACGCCGGCCCAGCCACGGACGCGGCCCCACATCGCGCCCAGGCCGCGGCGGCCCGTCCTCCCGGCGCTGCCGGCTGGCAACGGGAGCTGCGCCCCGCGTTCCGCGCACCAGCGTTCCGCCCCCCGCGGGCTCCGGCCGGCGGGCCGGGCCCTCGCCCACAACCGTCCCGCTTACAGCCCAGCTTGCTTTTTTTTTTTTTTTTTTTTTTTTTTTTTTTTCTCTTTTTTTTTCCTGACAGATTTTCGCCTGCTGCCAGCACTTGCAGGCACGTAAACCAAGTCTTGGGACGGCGCTGAATGGTTGGAGGACACTGGAAACCCACATGGGTTTCAGTTGGGGTCCCAAAGCACTTCCCTCTAATGATTTCGTGGAGGAAACAAAAATATCTGTGTTTATTAAAAGTTCATGTGGCAAGTCAGGTGGTTCTCATTATTTCCATCACTGAATACTCACTAAATTAGCTCTGCCTTGGGGACACCGGGCCTGCTCCTGCAGGAGGGTGGCTCACCCAGGCCAGTTTCCTAAGCATTAACTACCTATTTCTTGATACTTAAGAAATAGATTTAATCAACTCCGCAGATTTGAGTTCTCAAAAGAGTCTTTTTTTTTTTTTTTTAAACCCTTGTCAGCAATACAGGGGACAACTGAAACAGGTAGCAGCACCCAGAACTGTGCTGTCGTTCTATCTGAAGAGCAAAATTACTCTTCCAACACAGTGCAAGACTGACAATCTTGTATTTCAAAGCATACGTTGCTTTAAGACATTTAAAAGTAACTTCCTTTATAGCCAGATAATTCAAGCACCTCTCACCTTTCTCTAAAGCTTGTGGTACTGGAAACATTAAGTATAAAACACTGGGCCACAGATTTCAGCCCATACTGCGCTTTCAGTGCACGGCTGGTTCCACGGGGGTGTCTCGGCACCCAGCGCCTGCTACTGCCTCGCTTCTCGCTGTTTTCAGAGCGAGCACAGGCACCCAGGGAGGAGTGCGGGGCCCCTCTCTGCGTCCAGCTCAGGTGCTGTGCTTTTTCACCCGTGCTTCCCCTCCCAGCCGGGTAGTAGATGTCAACCGCAGCTCAGAGGGATCACGTAGGAAGCACAGGCCAGCAAAGGAAGGGAAAAAAGAGACAACTTTCTTTTTCTGGACGGAATATGTCCACAACTAAAGAATAACTGGGCTTACAAGTATCAAAGAGAGGAAATCTGGTGGTTCCCCAGTCTGCCCCACGATATGCCCATTACGGTTTTGGGATGTCCAGCCTGGGGGCAGACACATACAGTGGACCTGCCTGGAGGCCTTTAGCTGTTGCTGAGGAGAACGGCATCTTGCTGTGAGCACAAGTACTAACGAGAACCCCGATCTAGCTGAAAAGGATCAGAGGAACTTCAGATTTACCAGAAATGGGAGGAAAATACTGGGTCTGGCTCAAATCAGTCTGAAACCAAACTGAAAACAAAAATTCAATGAGCTGGGAACAGCTGCTATTGGACAATTTCCTCAAACTCTGACCTGCCTGTGCTTTTTGTCCTCTCAGGTATTTTTTCCCTATTACGTGCAATAGCAATTTCCAAGTGACTTTTTTACCTATGATATACAAGTGTCCCATATTTCCCCCACATGGATCTTTCAATCTAGGCAACTTCACTAACAAATTGCTTTTGCTCCTAAAAATCCACTCTTTTGCATCACAACCCTTTCCTGTGAGCTGCTGCCTGGTAGCACCACATTTGCCCTGCCTGAGGCAATGTACCAAAACAATTCCCAGAGTTTGGCTGACATTCAGTAACTAACTCTCCATAAATCCACTGCATGCCTGAATGATTAGTCATTAAAAAAACAGATTCAAGTCTTACCAAAATCTCCAAGAAACATACTGTTTTCAGCTCTGGGTGTTGGTCTTTTGGGTTGCTCTTTTTGCATGAGATTTTAAGGACAATTATTTGCAGTTGGCTAACAGGCAGAAAAGGTTCGTGGCTCCACAGCAACTGGTAGTTATCAAGAATATTAAGCAAACTAAGAAAAAAATATTTATTGTGCAGTCAAAGCATAGAAAACAGAACCTGGAAGTATAATTCTTACACCGCAAAGAAATCTTCCTCCGAAGACCTATCTCTGCAGCTGGTTTACTCTGCTGTAAATCAGACCATATCAACACAATCCTTGAACACAGCTGAACACCTCTGATGTTTTCACTCCTGTTGGAATCAGTACTCACAGTAATGTTTGTGTCATCAAAGCTGCTCCAAATTATTTTGGTGATCTTCAGCTGCCTTTTCACACAGCAATGCATCCTGCACTGCCCAGCTGCACCGTTTACCTGAATTTTCTCCACTGTTTTAAAGTCACAGAAAGCAAATACCAGGTGATAAAATAGCAGCTGCAGGTAGTCTCTTCTCTCTCTCAGAATGATTCCTATAGCAAGAACATGAGCTTTTTCTTTTTTTCCCTCAGACTTGCACTGTCCCTCATTGCTGTGCTTCCGGATGGATTTGTAGTAAGGTCTTCAATGTCCATGCTTACCAGGAAGATGCCACAGTCCAGGAAGTTTGAGAATTCTCAAGGTGGTGGGACTGTCTACACTAGTAATTAATTTGGTGCAACAGAAACAGACCAGCAGACTGAAATGTCTAGTGCTGAGGGTCCTCACCTCTGACCTGGGGAGTCTATTTTGCATTAGGTTAGGGCCAAACATCCTTCTGAAACATATAGTTCAAAGCTGTCACCTGAACCTTCACTTCAACTGAGTGCAGCCTACGCTGTCCTACCATTTGCAGTTGACAGCAGTACATCAGTACCCAAATCACTATCACCTGCGTAAGGCTTTACATGCAGAAGCCATCTTAATTTTCCTCCGTGTACAACCTCCATGTGGTGCTGTACTGCTTGGCCCACCTCTCCAAACAGTCTGGACAACATCCACTGCGAGGTGCTGGGTGAGTTTTCATGGTCTCCTTTCTGCAGCTCTGGCTGCTATTCTGGGACGATAGCTGTGAAGAACTGACGTTCATTCTCCTGGGCAGTGAGGATTTCTCTAAGAAGTAGGAAAGGCAAGCTGGCTTTCAGGGAGCAAGCTGTTTGCCTGTAGTTGGCTGGAAATGATGGGCCCAGGAGACAGGCTTGGACTGCCGGTATCCTGCAGGATGGAAAGGAATGCACGTTGCAAGGAAACCCTTTCCTCTCCTGTGTCAGACAAGATTCCATGGCGTCCCCCTACCAGCTTTTCAGCTCCCAGAAGTTACCCATCCCTCCAGTGCCGAAACACTCTGCTCCAGAGGGGCTGTGCCCCTTCTGTCACACAGAGGGCCACCATGTCCCCGAGCCAATCACCCATCCCCCAGGCCGGATCCCTTCAGTCCCAGAAAGCACTTCCATGTTCCTGCAAAGCACTTGCAAGCCAAGCTCTCGGCACACGTGTCCCACTTCTGTCCTGACTGAATCCTTTGAGGGGAAGCTTGAAGTTAAGCTGCAAACAAACTGTCCATTAGGACCTCCACACCAGCACGGTGCAGGCACAAAAAGTACAGTTCAGCTTAGTAAACATGGGTGCAGGTAGCAGAAATAGCCATGGGGTGGCAATATACTCACTGTAGTGCTGCATTTCACAGCTATAAAATCTCCCAGGCAACATTTCAAGTCCTCTCACCATCTCCATCTTTTGCACGGGGTCCAAAGAAGAGCAGATCAGGCCTGGTAGTCTGCCCGAGGAACATGGTTGTGAAGAAGCATCCTGAAACACTCAAGGCCTGATGTTTCAGCTGGCAAATGGCAACCACAGGCAGCATGCAGTTTAACACTAGTCTCCAGCTTCACCGCGTTAGGGGTTAGGTGTTCTCCACCAACTGGATCTTCCAACAGCGCTGCAGTCTGCTAAAAAAGAAGTCAGCACGCAGGTCAAAATTCTTTGCTACTAAACAGTAATCTCTAAGTATTTCAGGTCATCTGAGATGCACAACTAACTCACAATCACTAACTGGTTACCACAGACTCAGCAAATATTTCTAAATTAAAGCAATAAAGTCATTTACAATTCAATGTATTATTTCTAAAACCATTTATAACCTAGTTTGCTCTTCCTTGACAATTGCCATAATTTGAAGAGTAGCCCCAAGCCATTTAAAAGGAATGTTTCAAGAAAATAACCATATAGAGAAATCATATCTGAACCCTACAATTAATTAAAAGTGACAGGAAAAAATGTACATCTAATTTTCTGATATTTATAATGCTTTTTCCTTGGTGTGAGCTTTGAAAGTAGGAGCCGTCAGTTCTATTTGGGGGAAAACACCGTGGATCTACACTCAAATATGTAGGTCTGCATGTTCAGATCCTCACAAACACATGTGCAGCTCAGCAGTGTTTGCAGGCGTACAGCACTGCCCAGAGACGCTGCCTGGTCTGGCAGAGTATCTCTAGTATTACTGGTCACTGATACACATTATAGCTACTGCTCCTTTACATTCCCACAGGCTGTACAGTGTCCTACTGCTTTCAACTAACTGGGCACTGCTTCTGATGAACGTTATTACAAGCACTTCAGTTAATTGCTAATCAAAAGAAAAACAAAACAAAACAAAACAAAACAAAACAAAACCTCATCACAGTGGTTTAAACCACTATATACCACTTCATATTCCCCAAAAGCTAGGATTACAGAGATTAACAAGTGACCTCCTAAACTGAGAGAGAATCTCCCTAAATTTAGAAGTCACTTGTTGATTTGCAGCAAACTGCTTGCGAATGTCTGTCCATGTCCAGTTTAACGTGCTACAGGTCACTGTTGTGTATGCATTAGTAAAGCTAGAGGGTTTAGCATATGGCAGAACAGGAGTACTTTTTTTATTTGTATGTCCAAAATTATTTGACTATTCAATTCAACTAAAGAGGCAGAAGAAAATTTTTTTCTTTTAGTCATCATCCAAGATGTCAGGTATATCTTTATAACTTTAGACAGATGATTGTAGACTGCTGTATCTTGAAGTACAAGATAGCTCCAAACTTGTACGGCTTACTGCTCTAACACGTATGCTAAACTCAGTGGGAATTTTTGTATTTTGGGAAAAGGAGAATAGTCACTTTTGTTTTACATAACTATTATTCAGTTATATTCTAGGAAAAAAAAAAAAAAAAAAAAGTGGCCCCGGGTTAATTTTCCTTCTCCTCCATTGCTTGAATGACATTTTAAAAAACTGTCGAATACTGCAAACTCGCAGGAGGCAAAAATCCCGCTCCAGCCCGACTGTGGCGGCTGGACCCGCCTCGGGAGGTACGGCAGCTCTGCGGCGGTTCGCCCGCGGGCACAAACTGTTGTTATTTCAGGCTATTTAACTCCTAAATAAAACCCTCTCTAGAAACAGACAGCTACCGGGGGGCCGGCATTTGTGGGGACCCCTCAGGCCGCCCGGCACCCCCTCAGGCCGCGGCCTCAGCCAGGCCCCACCGCCCGCCCACCGCCTCCCCGGCCCCCGCGTATTCCCCGCGGCCGCGCCGCCTCCCTCGGCCGCCTATATAGGGGCGGCGGCGGGGCTGCCCGCCCGGGCGGGCGGTGTGCCGGGCCGTACCGTACCGTACCGTACCGGGCCGTACCGTACCGTACCGTACCGTACCGGGCCGGGCCGTGCCGTGCCGGGCCGTACCGTACCGTACCGGGCCGGGCCGGGCCGGGCCGTGGTGAGTGCTGGCTCCGGAGCGGTCCGGGGCCTGAGGCGGGAGGCGGCGGCGGGCTGAGCGGCGCGCGGGGAAGCGGCGGCCATCTCCCCTCGCCGCCCCGCCGAAGGCAGGCCGGGGCTTTTCCGGGCCCCAAACGGGGTGGGTGTGGGGTTAACGGGGGGCTTCTCCTCGGGAGAGCCGCCCCGCGGGGGTCGCCGGCGGAAGAAAGGGAGCCGCTCCGTGCCGAGGCCGCGGGCGCGGTGCCCGGCCCGGCGCGGGCCTGGGGCGCGGGGCCGCGGCCTGCCCTTGGGCGGCTGCCGGCGGGAGCCGTGCTGCCTGGGGGGTGTGGGGGCTCCGCGTGGTGGGGGCGGCATCGGCGGAGAATAACGGGGGGGGGGGGGGGGGCTGCGGGACCTGTTAGGCCAGTGCTGCTGTTTCCAGGTGTGAGGCTGGGGTTTGCTCTGGAGTAAGAGCGGCTGTTGCCTCGTTGTATCTACAAGCAGTTTTTAATCTGCTAGTGCTATTACAAATGGGGAAAAAAAGAAATAGGAGGAAAGGTATGTGCATAGAGAATACCGGAGCGTTGACTATGCCTTAAACCTTCTGAAAGCGGCAGTGTGCTCTGATGGATCAGGAAGCTAAACTTCCTTGGCTCCTAAAACTTCCATATTTTTATAGGCATTTCTGGTTTTCCATCTGCTGCCAGCCTTTCAGTGGATATCTGTGGGTGATTTGGCATGTGCTCCCACTGGGGACTGGCACAAGTTGATAAGATCTCAGCGTGATGCAAGCAGTGCAGGTTTTACTGAATGCAGGCAATTGTTGCTCTCTAGTAATTCCCCTCATTCAGAGGCCGTCTCTCTGATCTGTTGTTTTCTTCCTCCTAAGTCAGAAGCAAAACTGCGGAGTGCTGTGTGAACACTAACGAGATCTATAGGATAATGAAGTGTGACTTGCTGTTGGAGCCTCTGTTGTGAAATAACACCTAGCATGCCATGCTGTTGGTAGTGAAACAGTTCAAATCCATAACCACAACTCGGAAACAGCATGTATTAATGCCATTTATTACAAGAGTAGGGATTTAATTTTTTTTTTAAAACCCATTACATTCAGATTCATGCAACACATCTTAAGCAGATTGGACACGTGAAGTTACTGAGTGACAGCGTTTGACCTACTGGGTTTTTTTTTAAGCTTCGAGAATAATAAATCTGCTTAGAGACAGGCTTTCTTAAAGCCTTGCTTATATGCAAGTGTCTGTGCTTCTAATGTAAAAGTTGTACAAGGGACGTGGTTCACACAATTTGGTTTTTTAATTATTCTTTCAATGTAGCCTACTGGAAATTTTGTTCCCATTGATGTTATTCTAAAATCTATTTTGGGAGGCAACAGGCTTCAGAAGACATATTACAGTAGGTAGAAGAGTGAAGAGCGTTCTGTTTACTGATACACTGTGCTGGAAGCCAGGCTTAGAAGTCAGTGAGAGGCTGATTCATGAGTGTATTCATTGTTTTTTAAGACTCGTGCAACTTTTTTGACAGCACTGTCAGCCAAGTGTCTCACTCAGCAACATGGCTCTGAAACAGTGGGAGCTCTTTGGCTCAGTGATTTTATTCCAGATAAGCAAGCTTGTTTTAACTGCTCACCTAGTGAAAATACCTTACTGCACACTTGAGAACTGACTTAATTTGAATGCTTTATTTGAAAGCGTCGCCTTTGTGTTTCTGCTTCCCAGCTCCCTTCCTGAGAGATGAGGGGTGTAATTCTTATTTATAATAATCTGGTGTGGGGGGAGCTTGCACTGGGAACATGACAGCCAGACGCAATTCTAGGTGTTCGTGTTCATTCCCTTTCTACTGATAGCTTCTGAGAGCTGCATAGGAATACCTAATGTACCTTTGCCATAATGAGTGCAGTTTTCTTAGCTGCTGTTTGCCATGAGGACAGCAATTCTCTGTTTTGCTTTATAGGTGGGGAGCTGAGTCGGGGGGACACGTTCCTGCCAGCTAGCCTTAGACACCTATGGACGCTATGCTTCTATAACCAATAAAAAGGTAACAACGCTTTTCCCTGGAGGTACTCTTTGCTTTCATTTGAGAGATCTGGTGAGACAAGAAGCTGGAAAGCCCAACCAGTATGAAGCTAGGCACTGATACTCCAGAGGACTTGCCTGATGCAGCAAAACCAGTCAGCCAAAATACAAATAGGTTACATCTCGGTCTTGGGGACAGGCATTTTCTGTTCTGGTGTAGAACAAGCTACATGGAAGAGTGGAAGTGAAAGCAATCACGAGATGCTTTTGCCTGTCAGTTGTTGTAAATCATGTATGCTTCATCTTTCTCTTCCCTTAGGAGACAAGTCTCTTGACACCTGCCAGGAAAGGGGAGACTTCAGTCTGAAGTAACTGATAAACAGGTGTGAAGCATGAGGATCAACTCTGCTATTCAGGCTGCTATTGACCTCACAGCAGGAGCTGCAGGTAATGCTGGATACAACTTAATTGCACAGAACTTCTGAGGGACAGTTTTAATACCTTTAACAGATGTAAAAGCAGTTTCCCGTTGCTATAGAAAGCCTTCTGTATTTCAAGGACATGAAGGTGAAGCGGCTGACCTCAGCTAGTGTTGTAACTGCATCACTATCACTCCTCCCTGGGGAAACCCCTGCCATGCAGTGAAGGTGTAGCCCTTATTTCAGACTAATAATTTTCCAGAAGGAGATTTAAGTTTCAGAATTAGTTCTCATGCTTATATGAGTTTAAGAATCAGTCACAAGTAATTTTGGAATTAACTCAATGTATGCGACTGAGGTCCTGCTTTTGTCACAGGAACCCTCTCTAATTGAAATAGGCAAGAGGCTGTCTGGAGGGTTATTAGCTCGGACAACATCCCAATGTGAATCTTTAAAAGCTGGGAAGCTCAGTCGTAGGACTGACGATGGTGAATTCACTTCAGTAACTTCCACTTCAATATAGTCTGTGCTATGAAGTTTTGCTGGACCAGTTGTGACAGTCACAAATGTGGAAAGAGTTGCATTGTCTCACTGACGTTACTGTGTTGGCAATGTCTGTGGCTGAGGGACGAATCTTTTTAACTCTTCCAGGGAAAGGGGGTCTTTTTGACATTTCTGAGCTGACGCTGTTTATACAGAAAATGAGAGATTTGTCTAATGTACTGTTGTAAGCAGTGTAAACAATTTCGTATTTTTCCAAGACAATAGCTATTGCACTCAGTCCTTTTACTGATGGTGTTAATGTTGTGAATATGACGGTATTCATGCTGCGAAGTGCATTCAAGGGTAGTTATTTGAGGTCATTTGTCAGAGTGGAGTTAACATCAGTGCAGTGAGGAAGCGAGAGGTGACAGATAACATGAGTCCAATGTAGCACCTTCATAAAGCATTTCATCTGCCTCCACATTTTGCTCAGTGAGTACCTGCTTTGTTAGCCTTTCCAAAAGATGTTAATTGATTAGACAACACCCTCTTTCCCTGCAAGGAAAGAGAAGTGTTTCTGTTATTGTTTCATTGCCTTAGAACAAAATACATTTCTGTTAGTCCGTTCATTCTCCTTGGTTTTTTGAGTCCTCAGTAAAGAATAGCTATTATATCTGCTGTTTCCCAAAGGAGTAGCTTAATACCTGTGCAGTTCTTAATCCTTTTGCAGGTGTTTCCAGGTGCTTAAATGGGAGGTGTGATTGCTTTCTTTCTCTGTACCTCAGCTCAGGAACGCTGCTGTCAACACCCAGGGCAGTGGAGCGCTCTGGCTTAGGAAGTTGTCTTTCTGAGCTGAAGCTCTTGGCTACTACAAGGGCTGGAAACTATCATTAGCTTAGAAATCCATTGCTTGACTGTCCCATGCCCACATTCAGGCTAACAAGGCATGTACTTGAGGTTGGCCTGGATTTTGGCAGTAGAGCTTAGAGCTAATTATGCCATTTTCTTCTCTGGTATGGTTCTTCTTTCTTCAGGTAAGATGAAGGCAGTGAGACCTTTTTCAACATGACTTCAGTAATCCTAAATCATTGTTTTTTCATTGCTACTTCTGTTGTAATAGATACCGTACTGTTTCTCTAGCATTTATTTTCCATGTTCTTTTCACACACTTGCTTTGTATTGCCTATGTTCACTGGTAGTACTCATTTCTGTATTGCATATGTCTCAGTACTCTTTAGAAAGTGTATTTATTCAAACTGCTAGTTCCTCCAGCAAATGCATAACCTGGTTTTCCCTTCCTCTCCAGATAGTCTTGACTAGCTGATAAGTAATGACGTTGGGGCAAGTAAATGCTGAACAAGAGTAAATAAGTCGTTTAGCTGCCTGTGGGTCGTAGTCCTTTGCCTAGGATCTGAGCAACCTCTAATCACTTCTCTGATTAAGTAGGACTCTTCTCTCCACCGTTCCCATGTTATTATTAGGACCACATACATCTAAGCCATTCAAGCAGGATTGACTTTTGTGTTTTTCTGGTTTGGTTTTGTTCTTTGTGTTAGACTATTTACTGCTGGCTGGAAGAATCACTTTTTTCTTTAACGTTTTAGATATTAACAGTGACTCTTGGTCTTTAACTTGAGGCTTACAAAGTTCATTGCTGTAGTTTACTGGGCTTCTTGTGCCACCTCCAGTGACAGTGTAAGGAGAGCCCTTTCTCTTTCTGGGATAGCTGTTCATAGTCACCTCCCAGCTTTTCAGCTCTGCATTCCCAAGACCGTTCCTGGTTTTCTTGGGCTTCTTCCAACAGCCATTATTTTACTACATGTAGATGTTTTAGGTCTACCTTTACACAGGAACATAGCATTTGTCCTGCAGATTAATATCTGACTGTCTTGCCTGCAGGTACCATTGACTGAGCCTTTCCAACTCTGTTTTTCATCTGAGGTTTACACGGATGTTACTAGTGGGAGCGAGCTACTTCTCTCCTTGGTTATTGCTCCCAGAGCAAGAAGCTCTTCATGCTTCCTTGTGTGATTTGCTCTGAAGTTTTTAATGATCCATACAATTGAGGTTTTATGGCATCTAGACCTTCAGTTTTTCTTAAAGGCCTGAAGTACCTCTTTGCGGAGGAGCAACAATGTAACATGAGTAAAATCCATTGAAAAACACTTATCAATTGAAAAACACTTGTTTATTCTTCTCCCCACTTAGAAGAAAAAAAAAAACAAACCCTAATCTTAACTAGATTCACACATGTGTTTATATTTCAGTTTCTTTACCTTATCTGTGTTTACAGATAATTACTTCTATTTCGTAGATGAAAAAACATCTTGTTAACTTGTTCTCTTTATGGTGTATGCGTGTCAGCTGTGCTTTGGTTAACGATCAGCTTCTGTTTTAGGATGATTCCTCTCTCGCTAAAAAGGCAAAACTGTGAAGCCTGTATAAGGTGCACCTGTCGTGTGCTTCCTCTTAGATATTGGCTTCTAATAGATTGCTGTCAGCATATACTGGTATTTCGTACTGAAGAAGTATAACATTAGCTCTTTCTGCAGACTACTGAATTGAGTTAGATCTCGTGGAATAACGCTGCACTGTGGGCAGAGTGGTTATTGGTGACGTTGCTGGCAATATCTCACAAGTTTTCAGGGTATTGACCTTGCAGTTCAGGTTGGAGAAGATAACACATTGAGAAACGTTGCTCTTTCACCCTTTTCCAGCTTATATTGGACACTTCCTCCTAGTATGTGGGAATAAATGCACATAAGAATCATCTGGAGTTATGAAGTAAAGGGCTTGAGTTGTTGGTTATTAATTTATAATGTTTCATTAGTTTTAGCACTCTTGGGAGCGTTCCTCTTGTCCTAGAGTAATCTTTGTCTCACTCGATTACAAATCTTTCATTTTTTTTGTTACTGGAATGTAAAATCAGATGGCTTCTGAACCACTGCATTAATGAGGGAACACGCTGCTTAACTCGTTAGCACAAGTGACTTGAGTGTAGAACAAGACCTGTAATTCAGTACCATTTATAGAAGTGAACCATTTTGTTTAGATGCTTTCTTTTAGTAAGGTAAAGAAACGTTTAATGAGACTCAAGCTCTTACTGCTCTTATGCCTGATTTTTTTTATTTTTATTTCAGGTAAATAAATTCACCACTGACAATTGATGACATTGTGCTAAAATCAGTGCACTTGTCTTTTCCTGTGGAGAATTAATTGATCTCGGCTTTCTGTGTGATTTTCCTAATAGTGCTGACTCTGTGTAGGTGTTTCAGTTGTGATAACCTTCAGCCACCCTCTTAACTTCCACTGCTTGTTTAGGTGGGACAGCATGTGTGGTGACTGGCCAGCCCTTTGATACTGCAAAGGTGAAGATGCAGACGTTCCCCGACATGTACAAAGGAATTGTGGACTGCTTTGTGAAAACCTATAAGCAAGTGGGGCTTCGAGGCTTCTACAAGGGAACTACACCAGCACTTGTAGCCAACATTGCGGAGAACTCCGTTCTGTTCATGTGCTATGGATTTTGCCAACAAATTGTGAGAAGAATTGTTGGAGTAGACAGGAAAACAAAGCTCAGGTTAGTAATAGAAATCCGTTTCATAATTTTAAATAAATAAATAAGTAAAAAATCATGCAACTGCTGCTTGGAAATACTGTGCTGTTAGGGTGCAACTAATGTCTCAGGCCCCCCCTCTGCCAGTGTGCAGTGTAGTAAGTTTTGGAGTGTAGACCTTTGTGCTAGGTTATGGTGTCTAACTACAGCAGAGCCATCTACTTGTCACTGCAGCTGGCTGGTTTCAATAATCACCGTTTAACTGGAATAGTCAAGACCCGGAATGTTTTTACCAAAGGGACTGAGCATTGCAACACCTGGGAGTTGGTGTCCCTTGATCCCTAGGTGGTTCTGTTTTTCGCGGGGGAGGTAGTGGTGGTTCTTACAGGGAGGCATACTAAGGGGAAAAGACACTTTTCTAATATTGCCTAACTTTTAAACATTTATTTAAGTCTCAAAAGCTTGAATGTAATGGTGGTTAGACCAAAAGTCTAATTTTGCACAGTGTGTTGTCTACTGCACTGGCAATAAGTGGCTGCCTAAAGAATGAGAAGTAAGAGAAGGAAGTGTTGAATACTTACTCTGAGTCCTCTGCCAGGCTACATTCTTAGTTCAGAGGATTTCTTGGTCCTGGTATGATCCAGTCAGTGACTTTGGATCTCTTTCGAAGCACTTGTCCAGTCTCCTCTTGAATTCTAAGTTCCTTGCATCTGCAGTGCACTTTGGCAGGGAGTTCTGCAGGTGATAGTCATTAATTCTGTAACTGGAAGAGGCAGTTGATGCTTAGCCACTGTTTCCATGCTACCTGGGATTTTGTAGAACTCTATCCATTGCTCCATGCCCCTCTTGCCCACCCGAATCTGTTCCTAGATGGAAGGATTCCAGCCCTCCTGGTCAGTGAGCGCTCCGAAGCTGTTCCTTTAGCTGTCCTCGCTGTCTTTCTCAAACTCTTGTAATCCTAATGTGTCAGGGTTTTCAGCTTAGGAGACCAGAGCTGTGCAGAGTATTCGGGGTGTGACCGAGTCATGGATTTATGCACTGGCATAATGATCGTAATCTCTTTCTAGCGAGGATGGCTTTTCTCCAGGTGTTGCATCACTTTAGAGCTGTCAGTGGTCCAGCAGTCTCCGTGAGCCTTACTGTTACACATTTCTCAAGGTATGTCTTCTGTGCATCACTGAAAGTAGCTGCACCTTCTCCATCCTTGTGCTGCCCCACAGTATGTAAAAGATTCCTCATACTGTCCTAACTCCAAAGATTGATGCAAGGTTAACCATGTTCAGCTTTTTATTAATCACTTTGTTCATAGCTTTGTTCTTCCTCTCATGTCTCTCTTCAAATGGCAGTAGCTGGGGAGGCCGTGATTCTGCATTTGAGATCTGTCGTGACATGGGTAGCTACCGAAGTGCAAGACAAGAATCTCAAAGTGGCAGTAAGTGAGATGTTCTCCTGTCACATGTTAGGATGAGGTATCTGAAGCCTGAGGCCCGATATGAGGGAACATGAGGCGATGAAGAGACAAATGATATTAATTGCTTTCTCCCTGCATTCTCTTTCACTGTTTTTTGTCAGTTGAGATGCCTCAGCTGACAGAACTGTTTCCACCTTCATCGCTTTCTTAAATCAGGAGGTTTCTGCTTTCTCAGCTTAGACCCCCCTATCTCTTCCTACCCACTGAAATGTAGGAGGTGGGCCTACCAATGGTATGCTTTGCTGCTTAACCATCTTTTGTGATCCTCCTGGGAGGTAGACCACAGACTTGCAGAGGTCCTAGGATCATCTCTTCAAGTAACGGAGACAGTGTGTTTATGGTGTGTGCGTAGGGGAGGTAGAATGGGAAATTTTCAAACAGTATACATAGGTGTGCTGTTCCCTACCTTTTGGACTAGCATACAGAACGGGAATAGAATTTGAATTTGTAGCAATAGCAATTGCCTCTGACACCTGACCCTTCTTTCCTTGGTCAGGTAATAGTGCTTCTCAGATCCAGGATGGCTGTTTAAGACATGGTTAATTAAAGAGCAAATGGTCTGACTGCATGGCTGTGCTAGGATAAAACAATAAAGGATTTAAGTTTACTTGAAAGCTTTCTCCCTTGGTGCTGCTCCCTTGATCTCTTCATCTGGGTCATCGTGGGGGCGTCTGACAAGGTGCATGTATGAGAGAACTGCCTTGACGAGGTCTGTGGTGGTGCCCTGGGTCCGTGTGGTCTGTCCAGGACATCCCCACCCATTCTCATTGTAGAAGAGCCAAGAAGCCTTTGTAGTGTGCTGTAGGGGAGGGGAGAAACCCTGATGAGGTGGCTCACCTCCAGGCATGACAAGCGAAGAACTATAATTGCCCTAGTTGCCTCTGCTGTTTAAAAACCTGTCAGACTGTCTTAGCCTGAAGAACGTATTTCAAGTCACCTGCTGAGGTGAATCTGACCATTTTTCTTACCCATATATAAGCAATTGCTTCTCACTTCTTCATTATTTTATAATGTTTGAGATTTCTCAAAACGAGCTATAATAGTTGGGCTTTGCTTTAAGTTACTTTTTCAGTCACACCTTTAAATGGCTTGGAAATAAGCTTGCCTTAGCCTGCCTGTTTTTAGAGATACCCTGGTCAGTGAGTGAAGCCTTGCAAAACAGTTACAAGGGCAGTTACAAAACAACAGTTTTTCCAGTTAAAGGAGTACATGCCACTGATGCATGAGTCAGAAAACAAGTGGAGAGAGAAGTGCTGAATTCCATTTATCTCTTAATATCCATTTAGTCCAACCAAACTGATTTCAAAGTCTAAACAGAGAGAGCTATTATCCTTGTTCACCTCAGTTTGCCTTCCTCAGTACGTGACTAGTCATCTTCAGCAGGTTATTTTCTTTGAAAAAACAAGATAAATGCCTTTTACAGAAGAAGCAGCAGTGTAAGAGTAGAGGATTCTTGCTCCTGTGATGTGTGATCAAAACTCTCCCATCCAGGAAAAGTATTGAATTAGGCATTTTGAGTTGACAGGCAGCCTGAAGAGCATTCAAGACTTACCACTCCTGTGGTGAGGTTCACTATATTAAAGACCAAAGCCTAAACAGTGGGTATAGTTTAATTTTGCATACAAACTTCAATATCAGCAGGTAAAAGTAGAAAATACCTGAATTATGGCTAAATCTAGTCCTTTACATCTGTCAGAATTCTTTTTGTCTGATAGCATCGGTTTTTCTTTCTCTCCTGAAGGAGGGAGGATCCTATGCACCCGTTAGAAGGCACCTCTTCCCTATTTTCTTATCCTAATTCTTCAGTGTATAACCTTATTGCCTTGCTCTAGCTCACAGCTTAATAACTGTAGGGCTCAGCCCCATTCTATACTTTCAACTCTGCCTTGCTCTGTCTTCAGCTTTAGTGGGTTGCATTTCAGATCCCTGTTATGCCAAGCTTTGTGTGCTGCAAGAGGGTTGCACACTCCGTGTTGCCAGGCCTCATTGACTGCGTATTATTTGGTCACTGCTCTCCGGGCAGTTCCTGATTTCTTTGATGGTTCTTGTGTCGTGGTTTGGGCCTGGTTGGCAGCCAACCACAATGCAGCAGCTCTCTCTCCCTTCCCCTCCGGCAATGAGAAGGGACAGAGAGCCAGGCTTGGGGTTCAAGACAGGACTGGGATGGGGGAAAATCCCCCTTTTATGATCACGAGCAAGAGGCAGACTTGTTAGGGGAAGGAAAAAAAACCATACATTTATTACAGACACTAACAACACCTAACAGAGTAGGACAGTGAGAAGCATTGCCACATCTTGAGAACACCTTCCCCCCACCCCTCCCTTCTTCCCGGGCTCAGCTCTGCTCCCGATATCTCTACCTCCTCCCCCAGTGGCGCAGGGGCAGGGAATGGGGGGTGCAGGCAGTGCTGCCACTTCCTTCAGCTTCGGTGAGGGGAGTGTCCAAAACTTGTTCCCCCCTGCTCCATCGTGGTCCCCCTCTCACAGCAGACAGTCCTCCACAAACTTTCTCTGACTTGAATTCCTCCCACGGGCCGCAGTGTTCCCCACACTGCTCCATCGTGGGTCACTAACTTCCTCCGACTGGATTCCCTCCCATGGCTGCAGCCCTTCTCGAGCTGCTCCGGCGTGGGACTCCCCCGCATGCTGCAATCCTCCCAGCACTGAATTACAGCAGTGGGGCTGCCTTTTCCCATGAGACCCCGGCCTTCTTCGGGCACAGCACCTTGATCATCTGAGCAGGAACAACAGGCTGTAAATCAATGTCTGCTCCACCGTAGATCTCCATGGGTGGCAGGGGGGGCCGCCCTGCCGTCTCCCCACAGGATACAGGGGGGTCTCTGCTCCGGCACACCTCCCCCCTCCTTTCTTCCTCCGTTCCCCCACTGACCTTGGTGTTCATGCAGCTGCCACAACTCCTCCTCACCAGTCCCACTGCCCGTCACCACGTCCCTTCTTAAATACGTTATCGCAGAGGTGCAGCTGATTGGCTCAATTTCCCAAACAGAAGTGGAGCTGGCTTGGAGCTGGGGGAGCTTCGAGAAGCTTCTCACAGGGGGCCGCCCCGATAGCCCCCTCCCCTGCCACCAAAAAACTCCACCACTCACTCAACCCAGGACATCTTGTCACTGCTGTATCGGAATGTCAGGAGCTTTGCTTCGTGTCGCAGCTTTTAGTTCCGTGATGCTCTGCGAGGTGAAAAGCTGTAGCTGTACTCTCTGATACGACAGGTGTATAAAACTCCTGGCCACGGGGCAGGCACCTCCTGCCTACGGAAAGAATTTCTGTGCAGCAGTAAGGGCAGTCCCAGCTGCGCTGCCTCCCCAGGTTCTGAGAGAAGAGAGAAGCTTCGCTTGTTCTGTGCTGTTGTGCAGCTTCTGTCCAACACACCCGTGTCTGTAGGAGCCCCTTTAAAGCGTGTCGGAGAGAATATGATCCTGGAGTACCAGCCGCCTGAGTCCTGGCAGATGAACAGCCCAGGCTTTGATGTGTGTGAAGTCACCGCAAAGAAAGCCCCGATTTTGGAATGTTGTGAGTCAGTGCAGATTACAGGGCGGTCTTTGCTCAGTGGTGTGCTTTGTTTCTCTCCACTGCCTGGTTCGCATGGTCCCATTCATGGCAGCACGTCCATAGGAAGATGGTAGCAGTCCACTGTGATTGTGCCTTGCTTTGGGATTTCTGGCATCTTCCCCTGAAAACCTGTATTAATGCTGCTAAGGTGACTTTGAAAACACCAGCACCTATAGGAGGTGATAATTGCTCCTCTTCTCTTCGAGGAAGTGACTAGTACCCAAAAGTTGCCCAGTGCAACAACTCAATGGAAATGCTTATAAAAGCCACGGAGGGGAAGATTTGATAGTGTTTATTCTATATTTAGTTATATTTAGTGTTACAATCACTAAAGTACAGCAAAAAAGGTAGAGGTTGCAGTCAATCTTCTTGGGTGTCTGAAGGATGCATCCGAGCTGTGTATGAAGATGGGATGAGCCAGGTTTCTCATCTCCCTAGCTCAGGTAAGTGCCCTTTTCTCTTGAGAGTTGTTTTCCCCCCAAGACTGTGCATCAGTTTTTCTTGATGATATTTAGAGTACAGGTCCAGGAAGCAGGCTGGTGGTGCAGTGGCTCCACCACACTGAAGGTCAGTGCCCAGATACCTTCTGCAGTTTCTCTCTTGCAGTGATCTGCAGAACGCTGCTGCAGGCTCCTTCGCCTCTGCCTTCGCCACCCTTGTCCTCTGCCCCACAGAGCTGGTGAAGTGTCGGCTGCAGGCCATGCATGAAATGCAGCTGTCAGGAAAAATAATCCAGGGACACAAGTAAGTATACCCCCTGCCCAGCGTCTCTGAAACCCTCTTGTGTGTACTGTTTTATTTTCAATCCTGTATTGGCTCGGTGTCACGTTGGCCGTGCGCTGTTAACCGGAGGGGAGTTGTGGCGGGGGGGGGGTGGGGTTTGCAGCCTGCAGATCCTTCAGGTGCTTGTAAAGCTGGCTGCCAGCTCAGGGCTCCCAGCAGGATCTTGTTCCAAGTCTCACTTGGGTTCCGTTTAAACAATGGGTCTAACCCTTCATTGTTGCTGCAGCTGCCTGTTGTTCTGCAGCCTTCTCGTTAGCTGGCTGTTAGGCATCACTAACTGGATCAACCTCTCCATCAGTACAGTTTGGTCAGTAGTGAAGGGTGTTATTCAGAAGGATGGTCCCCTCGGATTTTACCGTGGCCTGTCAAGCACTTTGCTGCGGGAAGTCCCAGGCTATTTCTTCTTCTTTGGAGGGTACGAACTGAGCCGGACATTCTTTGCTTCTGGGAGATCAAAAGATGAATTAGGTATGGTGTCTCTTTTGCCTGGTGGATTTTAGCATGCTGTTACGGGGGTCATAAGGGTGGTTGGGCATATGTTCCCTGAAAATACACTGATGATGCACAGCAGTTGTAAAATGAAGGAAAGTGGGCACACAAAATATGGCAGTCTGCATTTTGTGTATATATAGTACTGAATTCTTGAAGTGACCGCTTTCCAAAGGAGCAGGATGTATTATAAACGTAGAATAAATACAGTGAGCTAACAGTGATACTACAAAACTACTAAAATATCTGACCCTATGGTGTAACACAGTTCTGAACTATTTCACTTCAGCAGCTGTTTAGAGTGATTTTGTTGTTTTTTGAAGCATTCTAGCCTTAGCTGTATTCTTTTGAACCGTGTGTTCACGCGTATGCTGAAACGTGTGCCGACCGTTAGATGTAATCACAGTGATAGTAAGAGAACACTGAGATGGAAAATTAGACCTGAAAAGATGAGGAGATGCCAGACTAAAGATTGCTTGTCTCCTCTTGAAAGGCTGAACAGCAATACTTTGTCTTGCTGGGAGTTTGGATTTCCCCTACATGCATTCTGGTCCCTGTTGTTGCAAAATGTTTATCAACATCTAATGTGAAATGAGGTTGCATCATGGAAAATGACTGATCACAAAGTAACTTTGCAGAACCAAGCAGGTATCTGTGATTAGTGGCCCTGATGTTACTTTAAAGTGTTTCACAGATAGCCTGGGAAAGTGATTGCAAGTGTGGAAGGAATGGAGTTAATTTACTTAATACAGTCAAAACAGAATTCCACGTTATGCTTTTTTATCCTGGCCAGAAATCTGAGAGGCAGTCCTTGTAACCTTTGAGCTTCTGGTTAGACTTGCAACTTACCAGTGGCTTAAAATTAACCTAAAGGTTTGCGCTGGAGCTGTTCTTTTGTCATAAGCAGGTTCCTCTGTGTTCTCTTTGACTTCTGTATGTGAGATCTTGTGACACTTGCTGCGGATATTTTGTGGTGTGTATAAAAGCTTGTTTCTTAACTTTAGGTCCCATTCCTTTGCTACTAAGTGGAGGTTTTGGAGGCAGTTGTCTGTGGATTGCTGTGTATCCTGTGGACTGTGTCAAATCTAGAATTCAGGTTCTTTCAATGGCTGGAAAACAAACAGGCTTTATGGGAACATTTGCAACTGTTGTGAGAACTGAAGGTGAGTACGCAGTGTATCAGCTGAATCTGTAGGGCTGCAGGCTGAAATCTCCACCCTCCAATACAAAAACTGCTCAAGAAATCTAGTCCACTGCTAATGTGTTAGAGACAGACAGGAGCTGTTTCTCACAAACAGAAATACTGATGTTTCATGTAGCCTGGAAAGCTTAGAATCTAGAAATCGAGACCTCCTGTATCTGCCTTGCCTCTTGGTTTGGGAGACAATGAACTTAAAGCCGATAACAGCTCAGCATCCATTAAAAGCAGATAAAGGAATGGAAGCTCCAAAACATACACGTGAAAATTGAAGGAACCGGTTAAGCTCAGTACAGAATTTTTCTTTGCCTCTAGAAGCCAATATAGGGCTGGCTGAGGGCTATTTGCTAAATCAATCCTATCTAGCCTGGCAACCTGGGGCATCTGCCCCTGTCTCCTGGGTGGAGCTGGCCTGCGCCAGGCACTTCAGAAGATGGTGTGAGAATGTAGATGGCAGCAGGTAGGAGTCCTGGCCCCCTTCCCCGGGGAGACACTCGTCAGAGCAGGGGTCTGACTTGGGGCACGGCTCCAACGCGGCCCCGTTGTCCTTCGGTCCCCTTGCCAGCTGTGGTACAGCTGCTGTGAACTGTGTCCTCGGGTGAGCAAGGTGGGGGTGGCCCCTCTGAAGGCCTTGTCAGACCCGCAATAAGCTTCTATCGCTGAGCGCTTAGGGCTGAACTCCTGTACACCTCCAGGTGCTGCTCCTCGAGCAACATCCAGCAACACTGCAGGTAGGAGCTACAACCAGGGAGCTCAGCGCTCTGCGTGCCCCTCGAAGCAGCAGCATTGTTTCAGTGTCCTTCACAGGTAGAAAAAGCACAGGGGTTGCTGCAGATGAGCAACTCAATAAATGGCTAAACTGGCTCTGATTTAATTTCCAGGGGTACTTGCCTTGTATTCTGGACTAAAGCCAACTATGATCCGTGCATTCCTGGCCAACGGGGCACTGTTCCTCGCCTACGAGTACAGCCGGAAGCTGATGATGAAACAAATAGATTCTTACTGATACCTTCTCGCAGATGGAGTGCAAATGGTTGTTTAAGGATCACTTAAAGAAACGATCCAAACCCCTGTAGATCACATCGTGGTCTGAGCAGGGCCCAACTCAACTCCAGTTTAGAATTTGTAATCTTTTAAATTCAGGTGATTTTAGAGAGACGTGTACATGCTGCTCGAATTGAACCAGCAGAACAATCTCCATCTTGCAGATTCTGCACTAGGTGCACTGCGTGTCCTAAATGTATTTTCCTGACCTGTAATAGTTAGAAAGACTTAATGTTGACCTGTTGGGTTTAATGTAACATGCAGCAGTAAGCTGTGTTTTCTTTAAGAGGCGGCACTGTTCTAAAATCTGCGCTGTGGTGCTGAGCTTGCCCAGTTGGTAAGGGCAAGTGTCTGACACAAACTAACAGCAGTGCTGGCTAATCTTGCCGAGCGTGCCTGGCTTCTACATGCCCCTGCCCTTCTCCAGCTCCCTTCTGCTCTGATTTTTCCAAGGTCATGGCAGTTGGTGTCTGACTCATGTACTCTGTCCCAGGGAATGGGCTTATAAAAATAGGAAGTGTTCACTCCTTACCTTGGACTTGTATGACTTGGAGCCCGAGAGATGCCTGAATTTGAGATAAAACGATGTAGTTACTGGGTTTAAGGAGTCTGTGCAGCATTTTATTCATTTACAAATCCTTTCAAGTAGTGCTGGAGTCTGCTAAGCACCCTTGAATTAAACACTTAATATAAGGGAGACTGCTGGAAATAGCTGCTGGCTCTAAGCACAGCATTGTAGCTTTGTGCAGGCTCTTGTTTGGGTCACCTTGACAGGAATGAGACCGTGTGCTGGAAGGACAGGAAGCTGAAGAGGAGCAAAAAGCCAGAACTGAGGTCTTAGAGACAACTGACACCTTGGTCTCCCTGGCCTAGCTCGTAATTACTTGGGCTGGAGTTCTGCCATTTGCTGTGTCTTCAGCTGAGTGGAAAAAGCTCCTGTGGAAAAGCTCCTCTGAGTGGATGGTTTTTATCCTCTCCAGGCCTGGAGGCCGTGCCTGCTCGGTCACGTTACTTGATTAACTACGCAGTTAGTCAGTGTCACCCAAAATAACGCAATAACACCTATTTCTAGATGCTACTTTCCTTCTTTAAGTAGGATGTTCTTTGTACAAGCCTGTTCTGCCCTGTAAGAGGCAGCTGCTACCTATCCTGGGAGAACCAGAGCAGGTCTCAGCACCACACTTCAGGCCTGGAGTTGGACGGGGGGCTGGTGTCTGCCGGCTAGGAGTGGCAGCCTGCCCCTGCAGGGTATGCGGGCAGAGCTCTGCGACCCATCACAATCCTGGATTAGGAGCTTGTCACAGCAAGGACTGACAACACCCGCAGCTGGAAGAGCTCAGTTTTGCATGTTACAGCTTCCCTTTCAGGTCCCAGAAACAGGAAAAAGCTTTAGGCAGGGATGAAAGCAGCTCACTACCTCCTGCTCCTTGCAGTGGAGCCGGGTGTACGTCACAAATAGTATATTTGTACATGTTTCTAAGAGTTAGGAAAAGGTGAGGACTGATTCCATGTCAGTGGAATACTTCAATCTATTTCTTAGATTTGTCTTTGCTTTCATTTTTTAAAGCTCAGGGTTGCAGTTTTTAATATAAAAGTTGAAGCTTCAGGAGAAGCATGGTATTTTGAACTGAACCTACAGCAAGAAACTGGTGGCTGAAATAAACTCTCCAAATGTGTTTCTCTCTTGAAGGTGATGGAAGCAGTAGTTTTTCCATTTGCAGCTGCTTAAGCTGTATACATGTATTGGTTGTTCAGCTAAGAACATCATAATGTTGGTACAGGAAATAATGAGAATAAAGTTTGATTTGATTAACTGAGTCTGACTTGTTTATGCGACAACACTTAAGCTTGTCCAGCTGAGGAACAAAGAGAGGGTAAAGTCAGGGTCACTGGCCCTCCAGAATGAACAAAAAGGCTTTTTTGCAATCAATGAATGTAATAAAGCCCTCAGCTGAAGGGGGAGTGCTAGCTGTGACAAGGTGCTGTGAAACAGCTGCAGATTTTACATCATCTACTACAGAAAATAAAGCCCTGTTCGGCCTTCGGCTGGTTGCTTTGGTACTCACAGAGTTAAGTGACTATTAGAACTAAGCATCTAGCTCGTTCATTGCCATGAGACATACATACATACCATAACAGTGAATTTCCTGCCAGAAGTTGAGCATACAGCCCCTTCAGGTAGAAAAATCTAACTCTTGCCCTCTCTCCAGCTCCGAGCACCTCCAGTGCAGGCAGGGGCCTTGTCTGCCTTGGTCCACTGCCCTCAGCAACCCAGCTTTGGTCTCGCTCCCCTGTAAGGGGGTATTTCTTCCTTTGCCCTTGAGGGGCAGTTTATGTGCAATAACACCTGGAGCCTCTGAAGCAACACCTGGGCTTGGGGAACAGCCTTGCGGAAGCTGAACACGAGCCAGCACACCCTGGCCCCAAGAGCAGGCTCTGGAGCCAGCAAAGGGGGCAGTTCTGGCCGCCTGGGGTAGATGGGGAATACCACCTCCAATTTCACATTCCACGGTGAAAATAGTAGAGCAAGTCAAGGAGAGGGTAAGGAGGACGCATGGTGGAGAGAACAGTTTGTTCACCCATAATAGAAAGCTGAGAAATTTTACTGCTGGCTGCAGTTACCTCAGTCATGGGAGGGGGTAGGGCCAGGATCCTCCCAGAGGCATACAGGGGCTGGACAAGATACAACAGCTACAACCTGGAACAAGGAGAATTCCAACGAGGAAGGAAAAGTGGTTACAAGATTAAGGCTTGGGTAAAAGCCTTGGAGATGCACGGAACTGCACTAGGGTGAGTGCCTGCTCTAGCTGGGCCTGGTTTGCACAGGAGCTTGGACTACGTGTGACCAGGCTCACTCCACCCTGCACCTGCACCCTGCTGTGGAACACTTGGTCATTCAAGACAGGTTTCGGCCTCCATACTCGAAGTACAGTGCTGACAGAAGCAGCTTCCAACAGTGGGAGTCGCCAACAGCCCAGCTCCTAAATACCAAATGGTTTACACAGCAGTAGCAAAAGTTGAGTCCACGCCTGACTTCGCAGTACACCACTACTCCCAAGTGAGCAGCGGTATGGCACGGGACCTCTCTGCTCACTTCATTAGCTTTCCACAGCCAGTACCTCGCTGTGTCGCTGCCCTTCCACTCTTGGTTCCCAACAGCAAAAAGACTAAGAAAGCCACAGAACCAAGCAGCTAACCTCCACACATTTCACATCAAGGAAGACATGAACAGTCTCCACAGAAGAGCTGCGCTGCTGAGAACAGCTGGAAGTAGAATGAGCATCCTGGCAGTGTGGGCATGACAGGTCTTTGTACAGCTCAGGAGGTGTCAGGGAGCATGTGCAGCATTAGCTCAAAGGAGCGAGTTTTCTACCGACCCGTGGAAACCCCTGATACCAGGGGAAGGTGTCGGATTTTTTCCAGCAGTCTCCTGCAGACTGCTGGTCTCCACCCACCATCAGGTTAATGCTCTTGCTTAAAGACAGACAATTGTCTTGGATTAATAAAATAGGGATTACCTGGATGTAGAGACATCTAAACTCCAAAGGATCCAACAGCTCATTAGCATGACAGCCAGCTGATACCAAGTAACTCTTCAGAGTATTATTGCTCTGCACAACAGAACTCCATGTAAGTTTATTTGAGAAGTTGTATCTACACAGAAATACATTAAGTACATCAAAAGGAGACTGCTTCCTTTTATACTGAAGCAGCAAGGCATTCTCCAGGAAGAGATTAATTTTACATGTCTCCCTTCTTTTGACTTTCCCTTACGGTTCAACAAAGTTCACCTCCACAGCAAACGTCTCGCTATAGACTTTCCATGTTTTAGACTTGTGAGGGTTATCCAGCTCGTTCCTGGGAAGGTGGAGTCTGAAAGACAAAATTCAGTAGCATACTTTAGGCTGAAAGACATGCTTCTCCTTTCAGTCAGCCAAGAGAAATTCAAGCTCAGCCCTGAAATATTAAATACAGCCCCAGATCTTGAGTTCAGACATCAGCCATGCCTGCACAGGGCTTTGGATCTGAAGTCGTCTCAGAAACATAGTCAATCTGATGGGTTTGTAGGTTGTTGGTTTTTTGTTTTGTTTTGTTGGGGTTGTTTGCAGAGCTCCACAGTGCAAGATTGTTAGAGTAAAACTAGTGTTACGTTCTGCTCAAGGCCTCCTGACGGGATGCAAGTGGGAAGAATTTAACAACTGACCTTCCCAACAGCAAGCATTTGATCCAGTAATCAGTCAAGCTCATCAGGCATGTTTTCCACTTTTAATGCTTGCCAAATTCACATCTAGTTATCACTTAATAGCACTTACACATCAGCTGTGGCTGAATTACAGGTACAGAGCCCTAACAGTAGTTTCATGTCTGATCAGATCTAGTCCACCTCAGATCTACCAGAATTCTCTAGGCAGAAAGGGACTGAATTCCGTTTAAGAGAAGGTCTGGTGGGCTATCTTCCCTAGCCTTGGAGGAAACAAGCCCTTGGATGAAACTTTTGAGATGGCACTGTTGCAGGACTGTCAGGCAGCAGGCATCCATTTCTGCCAGCACTGTTTTGGTCTAGCTAGATGTCTGCACCTAGACTGCAGGTGCATTGCTGGCTCAGCAAACGAAGCTTAGAGCTATGAGTCTATGTTCATAACTATCCCTCCTCATGCTCTGCTGGGATCAGTTAAATAAAAATAATTTCCTTCATACTCCAGTCACGGAGAACACAATAATTACCTCACATGTTAAGTTCACTGCTCCTCTGTCTAAATCTGTCAAGTCTGGTAAACAGAAGAGAAGGATCTCCTGCCTCTGCATTTCTACATCACTCCCCATGCAAGACAGACAAGCCCAAGTTTCAGTGGCTGGAGCTTCCCCAGGAGTTCTAGCTTCAACAAGAAAAGCCACAGTAATTTCTGACTTCAACAAAAGCACGAGAAGCAGTAAAAGAGCCTTTGTTTGGGATCCCAAGCATCACTCCCTCCAACTCAGGTCTTAATACGTTTGCCTGCTAAGCCGCCGAATGAGTTCCAGCCTCTCAGGCAGCCATGCTATAAAGGATGGCAGAGTTGCCCTTGGATTGAATAGGCAGCATTACCTTTTTGAAGTCAAGTTCATTAACAATGCTTAGAGTGCAGAGGAAAGAGTCCAGTGGATTCAGGTAATGGAAGATAAAGAGCAGCTCACATATGTTTAAAACACTTGGCACAGTGCAAGCGAGTGTGCACCAGCTGCCTGCTCCCCCGTCACAGCTGAGAGCCAGACTGGTGCCCACGCAGAAGCTAAGGCAGGCTGGAGCAGCCAGCTACCTCAACCTTCAGTACAACGCTTATGAGCTTGCGCCTCCGTTCAGACACCAGCAGTTAGGATCTGAAGGTAGTCACTGTGATCACTTACCTGTTATTTTCAATAAAGGAAGTGTTGAACCAGAAGAAGAACGGACAATTGTCATAGCCTTTTGGGAGATCCTAAAAGGAAAGGCCTTGTTTAAGGACTCCGTGACTCAATTTTTGCAGAGCAGGAGTACCTACCCGCCTCAGTGGTTTGGTTTACAAAGCTAGTGCCAGAGTCAGTACACTCGAAGAAGCCAAGTATCACACCCAAGTCACTGTTTTCATTGAAGTTGTTTTAGGACTACATTACTGAAACTTAATGCAATGAAGGGAGACCCATGTGTCCTGGGTTGAGTGAGTGGTGGAGTTTTTTGGTGGCAGGGGAGGGGGCTATCGGGGCGGCCCCCTGTGAGAAGCTTCTCGAAGCTCCCCCAGCTCCACGTCAGCTCCACTTCTGTTTGGGAAATTGAGCCCATCGGCTGCGCCTCTGCGATAACATATTTAAGAAGGGACGTGGTGACGGGCAGTGGGACTTGTGAGGAGGAGTTGGGGCAGCTGCATGAACACCAAGGTCAGTGGGGGAACGGAGGAAGAAAGGAGGGGGGAGGTGTGCCGGAGCAGAGACCCCCCTGTATCCTGTGGGGAGATGGCAGGGCGGCCCCCCCCTGCCACCCATGGAGATCTACGGTGGAGCAGACGTTGATTTATGGCCTGTTGCTCCTGCTCAGAAAATCAAGGTTCTGTGCCCGAAGAAGGCCGGGGTCTCATGGGAAAAGGCAGCCCCACTGCTGTAATTCAGCACTGGGGGGATTGCAGCATGCGGGGGGTCCCACGCCGGAGCAGCTCGGGAAGGGCTGCAGCCGTGGGAGGGAATCCAGTCGGAGGAAGTTAGTGACCCATGACGGAGCAGTGTGGGGAACGCTGTGGCCCGTGGGAGGAATTCAAGTCCGAGAAAGTTTGTGGAGGACTGTCTCCTGTGAGAGGGGGACCACGATGGAGCAGGGGGGAACAAGTTTTGGACACTCCCCTCACCGAAGATGAAGGAAGTGGCAGCGCTGACTGCACCCCCCATTCCCTGCCCCTGCGCCCCTGGGGGAGGAGGTAGAGATATTGGGAGCAGAGCTGAGCCCGGGAAGAAGGGAGGGGTGGGGGAAGGTGTTCTCAAGATGTGGCAATGCTTCTCACTGTCCTACTCTGTTATGTGTTGTTAGTGTCTGTAATAAATGTATGGTTTTTTTTCCTTCCCCTAACAAGTCTGCCTCTTGCTCGTGATCATAAAAGGGGGATTTTCCCCCATCCCAGTCCTATCTTGAACCCCAAGCCTGGCTCTCTGTCCCTTCTCATTGCCGGAGGGGAAGGGAGAGAGAGCTGCTGCATTGTGGTTGGCTGCCAACCAGGCCTAAACCACAACACCATGTTAGAAGCAGCAGGCACTCAGCTAAGATGTCTTGGTTGTACTGTACGAACAGCCAGACGCCTCCCCTGCCCGCAC